GGTCATCAGGATCCTCACAGATCTGGTTGATTATAGCCACAAATTAGAGAAACATATGAAGGCTAAACTAATGGAAATGAATGGAATTCCACAGGAAACCCATAGCGATGAAAAGGAAACTGGGACTCAAATCAATGGAGTGGACCAGAAGAAAGCAAATAATGGACAAACAGAAAAGAGTCGAGGAGCAAGAATTCAAAGAAATGAGGAGAGTCTGAGGAACCTCCAGGACATCTTTAAACGCTCCAATATCCGATTTATAGGGGTACCAGAAGGGGGAAAGACACAGCCACCAGTGGAAAACTTATTTGAACAAATAATAAAAGAAAATTTCCCCAATCTGGCAAAGGAAATAGACTTCCAAGAAACCCAAGAAGCTCAGAGAGTACCAAAAAAGTTGGACTCAAGAAGAAACACACAAGGCACATCATAATTACATTAGCCAAAATTAAAATGAAGGAGAGAATCCTAGAAGCAGCAAGAGCTAAGGGGACAATCACCTACAAAGGAGTCCCCATCAGACTGTCAGCAGATTTCTCAAAAGAGACCTTACAGGCAAGAAGGGGCTGGAAAGAAATATTCCAAGTCATGAAATCTAAAGACCTACAACCAAGATTGCTCTATCCAGCAAAACTTTCATTTAAAATGGAAGGACAGATAAGGTGCTTCTCAGATAAGATCAAATTCAAGGAGTTCATCATCACCAAGCCCTTATTATATGAAATGTTAAAGGGACTTATCTAAGAAAAAGAAGTTAAAGAAACATGAACAGTGAAAGAACAACAAGCTCACAGTTATTAACAACCACACCTAAAACGAAAGCAAACTAAAAGAACAGCTAGATCAGGAGTGGAAACATAGAAATGAAGATCTCAAGGAGGGTTAGCAACAGGGGAGTGGGAGGAGGAGATGGGGGGAGAAGGTACAGAAAATAAGTAGCATAGACAGTAGATAGAAAATAGATGGGGGGGGGCAAGAATAGCATGGGAAATATAGAACCTAAAGGACTTGAGACACATGGACATAAACTAAAGGGGGGTAATGGTGGGGATGGGGGGGCAGGGTGGAGGGGAATGAAGGGGGGAATAGAACAACTGTAACAGCATAATCAATTAAAAAAAATAAATTAAAAAAAAAAAGAAGCACCCAGTCTGCACAAGACTCAACGGCTCTGGATAAACAAGCCCGCTTGTCCGTGTGGGTCTGTCCTCAGCGGTGTGCTGTCTGGGGAGTCTCTAGGCCAGCATGGGGCAGGAGGCACTGTCCCTCCTGCTGACGCAATCAGCCCAACTGCAATGGACTGGCCAGCCCTCTGGAGGATCAGAGACGAGTCCTGTGACTCCAGAGTCCACCTGCCTAGGAAACCTGCCTTCTCCTCCTTTCTGTGTGCCCTTCCACGCCTGCTCAGACAAGAGCAGGATCCCCAGCCTGGAGCCCCCCAACCCTGAGCCCCGTCTCCCTCTACAGGTGGTCGAGTTGGGGAGAAGAGGCTGGAACCAGGGAAGCAGCTGGGCCGCTGGCATCAAGCCAGAGCGTTTGCTCCCGACTTTTTACTTCCCCAACATTCCCCCCTCTCCTCCGAATTTCCTGAAACAGAAAGAAGCCCCCAACACAATTCCCAATGTGCATGTTTCTTCCCACTCTCCGTCAGACACACTGGTGTCCTTAAGTAGACCCAGCTCAGATCGCCTCTGCTGCTGGTTAATGCAGAATCCCCAGAGCGTCAGGATTTGGGGGTGGGGGAGGGGCTCTGTCCACCTGCACAGTCGCTGTAACGGCATACAGCGCCACTCTCCTTGACACGCGGGACGTGAGCTTAAAACCGTGTCCCTGTGCACATGTGCACGTGTGCACCTGTGCATTTGGTTTTGAAGTCACACATGCTCACAGACCATCTGAGCATGGAGCAGAGTGCAAAGCCAGGGCTGTCCAGGGCACTTGGAGCGAGACCGCCCCGAGCCCCTCTGTGAGCCTCGCCTCTCTGACTTCCTCCGCTCCTGTGGGAAGCCCGCCACAGAGGAGACTTCAGGAGTCATTCGGGCCCCCTTGCTTCTCAAGGCTTCTTTTAAATGCAGCCTCCAGGCTCTCCAGCCCTCCACCTTCATGTGGAAGAAAAAGAGAAAAAAGAGGCCTGCAGTGCACACCCCCTGGACAGACAGACGCTCTCTGAGGTCAGCCCGGCTGCCCACGTGGCAGAGCGCACAGAAGAGTCGTGGTCAGCAGAGGGGAATGGCCCCCAAGAGTTGCCAAGCTAAACCTGAATGAAACAAACTGTGGCCCTGGGCACCTGGACTAGTGCTGATCTTCCAGAAAGTGGGGCACCCAGGGAAAGGGCTCCCCCTGCTGGCCCAGCCCAAGCAGCGTGTGTACAAGAGGAAGGGGCTGCCTCTCTCATCATGTGCTTCTGGAAGAACGAGGAACGGGTCCAAGCGCAGGGAAGGGCTTTCCTGTCTAGCTGCGCAGAGAGGCTGATGGTGAAGAAGGGCAAGAGGCAGCCTCCCATGCACACCTGGCGCTGAGCCTGGCACATGGCAGATGCTCCATGAAACATTAAGGAAGGGCATGACCCACCCGGCCTCCACTGCTCAGGGACGCCCCCTCTGCAAAGGGATAACGACGAGGAGCACACGCCTGTCACCCAGCTGCTTCCCGGACGAAACGAGGTCGGCCGCGAGGAGCGGAAAGGGTCACCTCTAGGGGGTGCTACAAACGTCAGGAATTGGGAGGGTTGCGTGCCATGCGTCAAATATGCCTCCGAAGTAAGGTCGCAGGGGTTAAAAAGTGGTTGTGATTTATCTATGGACACTCTTCTATTCACTGAATAAGAACTCTAAGTTGTAAGGAGACCCCCCCACACACACCACCACCACCACCACCACCACCAATGCAACTCCATAGAACTATTTTCTTCTTGGGTGGAAAAAAAATTGTTTTTCTAAATTGGGTATAAGGCCGTTCACTGCCCTGGACAACCCTGGCTACACAAAATGCTGCGCAGGGCGTCCTTCCAAATCCAAGCCTGGGTCTTATTTACACTTATTTACATATCGAGCGAGATCTCCATGGCTGCCTGCCCGGAAGCCCTATTTTTAATTGTTTGCTGCCCCAGCTGCCCCTCTGACCCTTTCTGGCACTTTTCTGAGGATTTCCGGCCAATGCTAGCTTGGGAGGAAAGGGCAGAAGATGGGAATTTTTGGAGGGGATCTCAGCAAAGGCTGAACTCAAACCAGAGGCCCCCAAATTCAGCATCTCACAGCCCCTTTCCCAGGTGGTCCTCCTGGGGGGGGGCAGGGCTGGCTCCCCTGGGAAGTGGAGGGGATTTGGGCTGCGGCCAGTGGCCTGGCCTCACAGCTTGGCCAGCTGCATCCCATGTGGACAAAAGGACAGGGGACTTGAGAAGCAGCTGCCAGTGTGCACTCCAGCTTCCTCTCTAGCTGCGTTTCTGGAAAAATTCAGAGTAGTTCCAAGTGAAGGCAAGGGGCTTGCCCTGAAATTTGGACAGGCTGGATTTTTTTTTAACGTTCATTTTAAAAGCAGCATTTCCTAGACAGAGCAATATGTATTTATAAATATTTTCCAAGAGTGCCCTCTAGTGGAAATCTGAAGGAAGTAGCACGGCTCACAGACAAGTCACTAGGATCCCAAACTTCTGAATAAAAATAAAGCACGTTCGAGTGAGAGGCCTCCTTCACACGTGACCTGAAAACAGATCAGATTTCTTCCACAAGTCCATAAAAACTCGCATTACTTTGATTGGAGATGAAGACTGCCTTGAGTCTTTAAAAGGAAATCGTGCTCTACTTTTGGAACTGGAAATCATAGTGTTACATTTACGGTATTTTGAAACTAAATGCAGGAAAGTGTGCGGAATGGGACGATGGCAGAGATTCGTTGATTGTATCCCTGGGCCGAGCATGTGTTGCTGGCCCAGTGCTTTTATTTTGGCTGCAGAGGGAGCCAAGGCTGCAACAATGTCCAGCCCCAAAGGCCACACACACTGCTGGGTTTTTACCTTGGAGGATGTGGGACAATGAGTCATTTGTGCCTCTTCCTGGTTCTTCCTGGCCAAGGTCAGCTTTCCCACTGGAACCAAGCGGCTTGGCGCAGAGCCTCGGCCGTCTGGAGCCTTTCAGTGTGCAGAGCCCGGGGGAGGGCGTGGCCCCGCCGCACTCCCCGCCAGAGGACCCCAGTTCAGGCTCCAAGGCCTCTCTCGTCCACGTCTTAAAACCTCATTCACTCTGCTCAGTTTAGCACGAAGGGCCACCTAGCGGAGAAGGGAGGAAATCCGCAGTCCTGACTCGAGGTTCCCCGGGCCGAATTCTGTGAGGAGGAAAGTCAAGCGGCTTCTGACCACTCGCTCTTTCGGATGAGCTTTCCCGAAATGATCGCATGATAGCGGGTAGTAGTGGGACTGCAGATTATCTTGTACACACTGCTACTACGGGTCGTAATAAAACAGCTGCCATTTGTTTATTTCTCCATTCCATGCATGTATTCGGGGCAGCCACTTGGTACCAGGCACTATTCTAGCCTGACCAGCAGGACAGATGAGGCTCTGACCTCCTGGAAATTGCATTCTAGCATGGAGAGAGACGGTACACAAGCAAATGTATAATTTTGAGGCTACAGAGGAAACTAACAGAGAATAATGAATAACAAGGGGATGCCTTCCTAGAGGAAGGGTGTGGGAAGATCCCTCCGAGGTCACACTTAAGCACCTATTATGTGCCAGATACATACTGTGTGGGGGTTGAGGATGCAGACACAAAGAAAATGCCGTCTGTCCCTTCAAAGAGCTCAGTGCCCAACGGTGAAACAATAATTTCATGGGATTTCTAACAGCTGAGCCCTAAGATCTATTGCTCACAACAGAGTTCATTGATAGCACTCTCAAGGTTTGAACTGAACTAAATATACTCCTAACTATTTTTTTCTTTGCCTATAGCACGTGGCTGGGTGGAAATGGGGATAAACGATGAAATCCCAAGATCTCCCTCAGCTCAGAGGTTGCACAGGGCCACATGGCTCTGCTCCAGGTGGGTTCGCAGTGCTCCCACTGCTCCGCCTCTCTCAGCATCCTGCTGGAGTGCAGCGGGGACCAACCCAGCACGCTGGTTGTACTTGCGATCAAATGTGTTGCTTCGCTGGCTCTTGGCCAGGCTACACACGAAGGGCGGCCGATTTTGGACTCCCGCGGCCCGAAATGGTGCTGGTCGGCTGCTTCTGCACCAGGCTGACCCGACCCAAGGCCACACCCAGGGCTCCTCCTCAGCTTCCCTCCCTGAGGCACCTCTCGCCCAGCAGCCAAAGCCACAGGTCTCCCCACTGTGGGAAAAGGTCGCCCTCGACGTATGTGAAACTCATCACTAACCCTGAGCAGAGCAGGAAGGAAGCAAAGGCCACCAGAAGTGACCCTGGCCTAGTCCTCTGCTGCTGGTGGGGATAGATAACACCCCACACCCCCGGGGCAGGCTGCTTGCCAAGGGCTCTGTGATGAGCCCCCCCTCCACCCCTCAAAAGACACTGGGGTCCCACCAGCTTTCCCAGGAGAACAGAGGAGGATGGCAGGGTCAACTCAGTGGGTGATAGGATTGTTGATCTGGCACCAACTGAACAACCCTGATCTGAGAAGAGCAAGTTACTCGGAGCCCAGGTGTTCAGCCCGTGTTCCCAGCCGCCCCGGACTTCCAGGAAAGGGTGCCAGAGGCCCCAGGACGGGAGGGACGAGCGAGCTGGAGGGACTGGGCTCTCCCCCGATTCATACACTGGGCTTCCATTAGGAGCTGCTGGAGCCCAAGACCTGGAGGAGACGGAAGGCAGCTTGTCACTACGTGTCTGGGGGTAACAGCTGGGACCCCCTCGCCCTCCGCAGCCACACCTGCTGGGCACCAGGTCTGCAAGGCTCCCTGTTCACGAACACCAGAGGCAGAGAACACGATGGGTTTGGCTTGCTTGTTTGTTTTTTATTATCAATAGAAGCTGATTTTTTATCCCAGAGTGTCTGAACAAGTAGCGACTCAGCTTAATCAGAGGGCTCGGGCTTACATATGCCCTACAAATAATAATAATAACATAATAGTACTAATGCTTGTGCTACATTTGGAGCTTGAAATGATCAGTGACATTTCCTCTGATGAGGTTAAACAGCCTGGCTCCCGGGGCTGCACATTTGCATAATAAAGATCAGAAGTCAGTGCCTCCTACATCTCTCTGGGCACCAGCCGACTGGTGTCCTTGGTTCAGGGACACCGCTTCCTAATGTACTTCCATATGCAGCCGTGGGCAGTGATTCTAATCTTTGGCTTGCATGTGAAATGTCAGGGTTCCTTTTTTTCTTTTTTTTTTTGTCTCAGAGAACAACAAATTATGTTTTTCAATGAGAAGGTGCCGTGTGTAACAGAGAATACAATCTGAAAACGCAGAGGCCACATCTGTGACCCGTGGTGCCGCCCCAGCAAACTGGAGTCTATTTTCCCAGCTATCAGTTGATGAGAAAACATCACTTTAGATGCAATAATTAATCATTAGTCCAAATGGATATCCCCACTGGTTCCTCGCCTCTCAGACAACCCTGCATAGCCTGACAATAAATCAGGAAAATACATTTCTTAATATCCAATGGAATGCATTTCCAGACAGCCTCTTCAGTCTACAACGCTTTGCGGAAACCATCTATCATCTGCTGATAGGAGAAGACCCTCCCCAGGTGCTGGTTTAAGGAAGGGAAAGGCAGAGAGAGCCCAGAGGAAGGGACACAATGACTTCCAGTTTGTACACTGGAAGGTGGCTGTACACAAAAAACAAAAACAAACTCTCCTCACAGGGGTAGCTCTGAGTCCTGGAGGATGACGGCCGTCCCCTCCCCCACCCGGACCCGCTGGTTCCTTCCGCCTTTGTTAGGACTTCTCCCACAGCCCGGGGCCCTGTCACAGCTAGCCCATTCCGCCTCTGCCTGGCCCACCACGAGCGGCCAGTCCCCAAAGTCCCATCCTCGTCCTTGTTCCAGTGGCTGCTGTAGATTAATCTCTCCGGGCCATTTCTCTGCTTGACTCCCAGCTCTCTGTGGGTCCGCTGAAATAGTTACAGCACAAAAAAAATGCTCCAAGAAACCCAGTGATCTGCTTCGTATGGTGGAAAGAAAAGTGGGTTGGAGCTCAGACTGCGAGGAGGGAATCTGAGGGCTGCCCTAGACTCTTCCCCTTATTTGAGGGGGACCCCTTCTGGGTGGCCTCCTTCTCCTCAGCTATGAAAAGGAGGTGGTGTTGATGGTCTCCCACCTGTGCTTGTTGGCGCCCCAAATTTCCGAGGCTGTGCCTCGAGGCGAGGTGGGAGGGAGCATGGGGGAGGGGGGGAAGGGAAGAGAGCCGCAAAGGTCAACTGTGATGGCCGGCTTTTCTCGTTGCACCTAAGAGGCAAAATCAAAAATTCAAATCCCTCTGAGTCAGGTGATCTGTGAAGCCGTTTCTAATTCGTAAATCGTATAGTTCTCCATCTCAGTGCTGCCCATTCCATTGCTGAGTCTGGAATGATTTAGAAAATGCTGCTTCGACTGGGGGCATGTAATTGCATCTCTTAGTTACATGATCAGCGGCTCCCAAACAGAAGTGGCAACATCTGGAGGCGTGGTCGGTTGTTATTACGACCTGAGAGGAGGGAGCTATTGCCATCTAGTAAGTGGAGACCAGAGATGCTGCTAAACATGCTACGATGTACAGGACAGACCCCCACAGCATAGGATGACCTGGCCCCCAAAGCTGACAGCGTAGAGGTTGAGAAGCCTGTGCCAGCGAAGCAGGTGGGCTCACAGGTCAGACTCTGAGTAGGAAGAGTGTTCATTTAGCTTTGCTTCTGCCCAGCTCAGGCTGAGAGGTTCCATCTATTCCCAGCTCCTTCCTGCAGAACTCCCCTGGGCCTTGATGGCCCGGGAACAGTGAGAGCAGCTCTAGGTGCTGGGGACGGAGCAATGAGCAAAGTCTCTGCCTTCATACAGCACCCTAGTCAGAGGGAGGCAGGACAGAGTCAGAAATACAAATTGATACCTAAGACTCGGGAGGTAAGAAGTGCTGTGAATATTATGAAGCGGGCAGGGGCACCAGAGCAAGAAGAGGTTGCAATGGCCAGGAGGAGCCTCTCTGAGGAGGCAACGTTGGAACAAAGTTGGGAAGGCCTGTGGTATTTGAGGGGACGGGGTTCCAGACGAAACCAGCTGCAGCAAGCGAGCTGAACACAGCCGCTCGGCCGTTGGCACGGCACTGAGAGTGTTCCGGAGTCACGAAGGTGGTCGGAGGGCCGGGGCCCCCAGGACTGGGTCAGAGATGTTCATATTTTATTTGGAGAGATGGAAAGCCAGTAGAGACTTCAGAGACAGTGTGGCATGAACAGATTTACAGTTGAAAAGCAAGAGGCAAAAACAAACTGAAAGCACCAAAATTCCTTTGCCAGGCTTCAGTGGTCCTGGCCACTCACAGTGGAGCAAAGTCTCAGAATGTTCTTTTTTTGTTTGTTTGTTTGTTTTCTTTTTCATTTAAAGAACAGAACGAACAGGCAAAATACCCTCTTTCTGTGTGTCATCGAGACTCCTGATATTTGAAACCAGAGATTACCAGGGCTGCTCCTGCAACCTCCTGTGGCCAGATGGGGGGGAGTTCGGAATATCTTAAGACTAGGAAGAAGTTCTCAAGTTTAATCAAACAAATTAATGCAAATTCATTTCTCTCCAATAAAAGAAACTCCTTGCCACACACCACATTTAGGAGACAGGAATGGGTTGGTGTGAAAGGGAACCAGTCACAGAGCCTGCATTTCAGAAAGGCTGGCATCACAAACCAATACGCCAAGTTCATGGCTGGGAGAGGGTTCGCTGTCTGTAATTTGTTCATAAGTTGCCAGCCCTTCCCACACAACTTTGCAAATAAAACGCAACACTTGTTTAAATATTTACTGGCTTGTTGACCCATTTTTGGTTGTTGTTGTTAATTAGAATTTTTTCGAAAGAAAACAAATGTTGTAACAGGAAATTAATCCGGACAGCCTCAACAGTGAGACAGCTCCGCCAGGCTCTGGTTAGGCATTATTAAGTCATGACTTAGCAAAATTATAGTATTCAAGGGGAGAAATTAATTAGAAATATCAGAAATAGGTTCTGAAGTTTAAAAAAAAAAGGTTAAGGCCCACCCCTACCTCCCACCTGTGGCTATTACATGAACATGATGGATGTGAAAACATTTGTTTAGAATACAAAGAGTTGCAGCCATTGTTTCCCTGTTATTTACCCTTCAATGTGTGTTTAGCCCCAAACCTCTTTCTCCTGCAAGAAGTGGTTGGCTGAACAATTCTGTAGCTGTTCCCACAAAACAGAAAAGCTATTTTTAAGATGTTGCACTGGAGTTCTTGCCTTTTAAAAACTTTTCATGGCTTTGTGCTTCAGTAAGAGCCTTCAGGATAAGTTAAAGCCCTCTACCAGCTCCCCTCGGGGGCCCCTCTGAGGTCAAGCTGAGAGGACCTTCAGGATCTCGGGGACAGAGGGGTTTTCTCTCTCCCAACTACCAGCCTGAGGACTCCAGCTGCTCCGGCCAAGAAAGAATTGACTCAAAGTTTCAGCAGAAAAGTCTCATCCCAGCAAGCACTGTTGCCCATGGCTACCACTGTGACTCACACCTGCATTTGCAGGGCTGAAGAAGGACCACAGGGACTGAGGTGGTCGTGGAAAAGGAATCATATGTTTTCGGTGGTTGCAGAATTTCTCTCAATGGACTAGACGTCAAGGTGGCGTCACAGCTGCAGGATGATGTTGTTTAGCGGGTCAGCTAAACACTTAGTTGTAGATGGTGAAGTGTTTGTTGAACATGTGTTTTCTCTTCACGGCAGCTGAAAGAGGTGAGTAGTTCTGTGGCCTGGTTTCCTCTGACAAGGAAGCGGAGGCTCTGAGGTCTGGCCCACCCTTTTAGTGACCGAAGGGTCACTTCACCCTTTTGGCCAGGGCTGGAGCTCCCGGCTGGAGGAGGGGAAGTGCCGACCTAACCTTGAGCTGGAGATTTCTCTCACCCGCTTTGCTGCCTTGCCGGGAGGGTGACCCAGGGCATCTCCCACTCTCATGGAAGCCCCTTGGCAGGCTGGCAGTCCAAACAGGGAGGCGGTAAATGCGAGATGGTTTCACATCCTTTGCCACTTCTCTCAACAAAAAGTGAAATCAAGCCCTGGCTGATGTAGCTCAGTGGATTGAGCCCAGGCCTGAGAAGCAAAGGGTCACCAGTTCAATTCCCAGTCACGGCACAAGCCTGGGTTGCAGGCCAGGTCCCCAGTAGGGGGCACGCAAGAGGCCACCGCACATTGACGTTTCTCTTCCTCTTTCTCCTTCCCTTCCCCTCTCTCTAAAAATAAATAAAAATATTTTTTAAAAAGTGAAATTGAGTACCCTTCCCTGTGAAGGATGAGGGCTGGCCCTGTTTCTTGCCGTGACCACTAGGAAGCGGCAAAAGTAAAACCACGTGACCCCCAAGGCTGAGCTTTAAGAGGTGTCCAGCTTCTGGCCCTGTCTGCCTAGAGCACTGCAGGTGGAACCCAGTCCCCAAGCTGCACACCGCCGTGAAGAGGAGATGCGGCTGCCACCAGCCCTGTGAGTCACCTGGGATATCCCAGCCCAGTCTGCAACACTTCAGGCAGAAGAACTGCCCCATGGAGCCCGGGCAAACCCAGGCTCATGGAAGCTATTGAACGGGGGCGGCCCTGGTTGCTCCAAACCACCGAGTTGTGGGGTGGTTTGTTTCACACCACTGGGTGAACACCAGTCTGTTGACCCAGGAAAATGCCCCCTTGACAGGAAAGGTCTGGACGGTGTTGTGTTCGTACGTGGAACCCCTGGCTCTGATGCGGCCAAGTGAGAACTCTGCCCTAGAAGACCCCTTGTTTGCAGCTCGGGGAGATCTCAGAGGCGGGGTGGACCTTCATCAGTGATGTCTGTGGCCCCACTGAGCACAGCGCATTCACGTCTTTCCACGGCGCTCCCAGAGCTCTTTCCTCTGTGAACTCCTGGGTCTCCCTGTGCCTCCTGAGGCCTCCCCTGAGATGCGCCTGGCCTGGCATTCAGGAGGAGAGAGTTGGAACCGACGCCAATGAGCTCATGGGGGCTGGAAAGCCAGCAGGGGCCTCTCTCTCCGACACGCCCAGTTTAAAAGGGATGCTTTTGTTGCCAAATGGACACACCAGGAATGCCTCTCTTTCCTGAATTACTTAAGTTACCGAATTTAATCCTCATTAAATTAGGGTGAGAATTAAAAGTGGAAATGTACATGAAGTTCTTAGTGCTGTATCTGTAGGATTTTGGTGCTCAGTAAATACCCTTTCTGAACTTACAGTGGCTTTTGTTTCATCATTAAAATGGCCTGCGACTTTAGTAGCCTACCTTTGAAAAGGCAGTTAATTACGTGTCAAAGGAAATGAGTATATTCAAGATTTATTTTCGAACCTGCCATTTTGATCCTCTGTAGTATGCTAACCCAAAGTGACCTTCATGTAGTCACAACTAGGGTAGGTGGCCTCCATCCATGACATGCTCTGCCTGACCATTCCTGGAAGGACAAGCAGAAGCCGCTCTCCAGACTGGGCTGGCTGCATTTTTTTTCCTGGCCTCACCTTGGGCCAAAAGGTCATATATCTGCTCACTGCATGAGCCTCTTGTCAAGTGCAAATGGACGGGAGATCTCAGATCCACTTACACCTGGGGAAGAGGCTCACATGCCCCACTCGGGCATTTACAGCCTGGTGCGTATGTACATGTTTCCCCCCAGACGTGTTTACCCAGCTCCCTCAAATTCTCTTTACTCCAACTGCTTTTATGGCGGATTTTTCAGACCTCTGAGTTTCCAGAAAGACCGAACGCCCTGGCACTCACCTAGTCCAATAATCAGAGCCAATTCTGAACTCCAGGTTTAAAAAACAGAACTTCCTTGGAGTGGTTTGGAGAGGCGAAGCGAGGGCTCCAGTTCTTTCTCTTTCTTGCAAAAGACGCAACCCCAACACTCCTCTTTCTTCAAAGATTTAGAGGGGAGGTGGCTGACACGGGAAGAGGGACACAGTTTTCATTTCCGAGGGTCCTTAAGGCAACGGAGGAAGCTCAGAGGCCATGGGAGTCTAGTTAATGAGCAGGTTATACAATATTTATTGTGCCGAGTTTAACTCTTCAAACAGAACGTCTAATTGCGAAAAGAAAAAAGGCAGCTAAATGCAGATGTTAAGACAACAAAGCTTGGGAAGGACGCTGTTGATGAAAGTGTCCTGTCGCTGCTTCCTCCGCTAACCGGGCAACGACAGTCGCCCAGCGCTCATCAGCTGTTCTCATTAGCGCTGTTCCGGCTGAGACGCCAGCCCACGGGGTCTGATGAGGCCACAGAGGGGCTTGGGACGGCGGGCTGCTCAGAGGACTGTTTTCCTGCTACCCACAGAGGGAGCGATCCAGTCGTACTGGGCTCCAACAAACCACACCTGTTCTCCCGGATCTGCCTGACGTGCGGGCTCAGCGCTGTCGCTCCTGGCAACAGCATCTCAGGCAGGCTCCCTGAAGGACACCTGTGTCTGCTTTGCAGCAACACTGGGTGTGCAGGCGGCAGAGGCCAGCAGCCAAAACCATGCCCAAGGTGGCTGAAAGGCGAAGCAGAATTGCCAGTTGAGGAGTCCTGAGCTGGGTCTCCGAAGGGGCACCGGCTCCGTCTTGCCCAGCCTCAGGCCTTGGGTGGGCCTCCCCGAGGTAGCCCACTCTGCTCTCTCCATTTGCCTCCTTCACTCTGGGCAGCTCGTGCTTTGACTAGGGCAAGAAGCTGGCGGAGGGTCCAGGTCCCTGTGACCAGCCAGTGGCAGTGGGCGGCCCAGGAGAGTCCGAGGTGTGGAAGACAGGAGATGGGCTGGCTCTCCCAGCCCCACCCCTACCCCTAGTCGGTGGTTCAGAAAGCCAGAGGCGCTGAGAATAGGTAAGAGGGACAGTGTTCAGCCAAGGCCTCTTCGCTGTCCTGTTGGAGATTTCCAACTTGTCCTAGAAAAGCAAAGGGAAAAATGTCAAAGGGGCCGGTTTTCACCCAAATTGCCAATGAGCTTTGCAACCAACCTGTGTCCTTTAAAGAATTCCAGGCAGCAGCTGAAAACCCAGTCTAGTGCCTACTCCTTAAAAGAGCGCAGAGTAAAAAGCCCTAGTAGATAAATACACATTTGTTATTGATGGGGTCAGGGTGGCTAATGGAAGCCCCACAGAGAACATGGAGGCCAGGGGCAAGAATAAACTTAGGATGGCTTCCAGACCAGTATCGGTGACTGTCATCTCCGATGGCTGACAGCTTTGTGTGTCTTTTTATGTTAACACCCATGCAAGAGGGACTTTTGAGTCTTGATGATGGTTCTGATAAATTTGAGTAAGAACATTATACCATGTTTTATTCTGCATTCCTTTTAAGACTTCAAAGGAACGGTAAATCAGTGGGCATGCAGATTTTATTCTGCCTGTTGAGCTGACCTCTGGGACCTTGCCTGGTCTTACAAGGTCAGTGTTATGAAGAGGGGGTTGGGAGCAGGGAGGAAAGAGGAATTGTTCACCGAGGGAGGCTGGGTGGGGAAACAAATCACTAAAACCATCAATTTCTACAACTGCCAATAAGAACTTCAGAGACAAAGGCCAGTATCGATTGGTAGAACAACACGATATGTGTATTATACCCTTGCCTCCTTTTCTCTTGCTTTGGCTATTAGTCTAATAGCTCTGATTTCCTAGTCTGGAACTTTCCACTCTGAGTTCAAAATACCAACCTCACCCACCTTGCGTAACGTGGGCTATTTATTACCTGTTCATTCCTATCCGAGGGCAGGTGAGTTTCCAGTGAAGCAAAGCTTGGTTCACCCTGAGTCCTAAAGGGAAGAATAGAAGTACTGAGAAGAAGTCATCAAGTATTTGGATCAAAAAGCAACCTTTCCTGTCACTGTTGTGTATGCTGATAAAATCAGATTTCCTCGACAGATGCCTTGAGTTTGGAGTCAAGGCTGGAGGTGGGGGAGGGGGAGAGGTGAGTGAGGATGGCAGCAAAGAACTCATTGAATGCTGTTCTTTATTCTTTTGTATAAGTATATATTTATGTACTATAAATTTATATCTCTAAAATATAAAACATATATTTATATTTTGTTTTATTTATAAAAACACGTCGGAGACCTCACCCTGTCCAAGAGAGTACACTTCCCCAAGTGATTATCATACCCAGCCCTACTGACCAGTAGCCCTTCTACAATCAGTGTTTCTCATATCCTTAAGAATAAACATGGTTAAGATCTCTTACTATCAGACTCCAAGAAGTTCACATTTCCTCAGCACCCCGGGGTTGGGCGTCACCCCACCACCTGATGGACTGGCCACCCCCGCCTATTACCTGTGGTGGGTGCTGGGGCTGAAAGCAAAGTCCTCGGGGAACAAGCTCCTGGGGGCCACGAGCCTGTCCAGCCCATGGACATCCAGGGAGGGTTCGAGGGTTGGGCTGCTGTCCCTGCTGCATGGCTGGCCATTGCTGGCGGTTAGTAGCTGTGTGTGGCGATGGTTGGAACACAGTCTCTGCACCCCCAGGAAACTCTGACACGCCAGTACCAGCAGGAACAGAATCTACGCTGCGGCCCCAGCCAGGGCAGCAGCAGGGGTATCTGCATGCTGCTGCAAAAGAGGGCTGAGCAGCCTGAAAGCTGAACAGAGGCCCAAAGACACCACAGAGAGAGCATTTTCCTGGCATCGATTAGCACTGACAGTGACAATAATGGGTAAATACTGGAGACTTTAATGTGCCTCGGGGACAGACCATTAAGTGTGAGCCACTCAAAAGCGTCAACGTAAAAATGATCTGACCAGGAGCAGAATGCCTGACCACGCAGCAAAGCACTCTCCATTCCTTCAGTCTTTTCGAGAGTGTAGGTCCCTGGGCTTCTGGGCTTGTGTGTTCCTAACAGGCACCGATCCGGGAATACAGAGACCGTGGCATTTTTTCTCCCCTGTGCCAAAAACTGTTCCTCGCTAGAAAAGAAATTGGAATCTCACAAATTGAAGATTGGTAAAAGTCCTCAATCTTTCTTGCCATATTAGCAACCCTACAAGTTTCCCAGATACCCTGGCCGGGTGGCTCACTTGGTTGGAGCGTCATTTTCTGTACACCAAAAGGTTGCAGGTTTGATTCCCAGTCAGGGCTTGTGTGGGAGGCAATCAATTGATGTTTCTCTCTCACATAGGAGCTTCTCTCTCCCTTCCTTTCTCTCTAAAGTCAGCAAGAAAACATATCCTGAGGTGAGGATGTAAAAAACCAGTAACAACGAAAGAACTTTCCTGGGTCGTGATAATGGCTGGAGCCCCTGCTGTGGAGGGCACCCTGCACTGCCCTCCATGGCCTTGCTCCCCCGTGAAAGGCTGACATGGTCGCCCAGCATTAGAAATAGCTACACGCAGCGCAGTGACCGAGTGCAGGTTTTGCAGTCCAGTCCCTTCTGAGTTCTCTTCTCCACTCTGCTAATTCCGGGAGGCTTGAGGCAAGTTCTGGAGCATCAGTTTCTTCATCTGCAAAATGGGACCAGTGACAGTACCTACGGCATGCCAGTGCCGAGGGGGCGAAATGGAGTAGGCGAAGGAGAAGCATGGAGCCCTGCTGGCACAGATGCGCACCGAGGGTCCACCACCTCGACGATTAGGGGGACAGAGATGGTGTTCGCAAAGAGTGTTAGCAGAATTTCTCTGCCCAGGACCCTGACCGGGTTGGGTTGAATCTTTTTGGGGGAGCGAGGGGCGCGCTACTTTGTTCCAATGCCTTCGTCACTCAGAAACAACGAGAACAAGCGAAAAACAAAGAAGCCTAACACAGACCCACAGAACATGACAAAAACTCTTGACAGTTTTGTTTAGGTTCCCGCTTGAACTCTAGATGCATTTGGGCATCTGCAGACCCACTGTGTGCCAGCATCACTGCAGGTGCAGAAGGGGTGTAGGTCGGTGGCTTGTTTCTGAATGGAAATCTAGAGGGAGAGACTCTTAGATGCCGACCCTCATCTATTACAGTGTGACGGCAGCTTCAGTGCCAGAGCTAAGGAGGCATTTATATCTGCCCACCAAGAAGTATGGGGGACGTTCCACCAAGGAGGGACCTGAACTGCTCCTTGGGAGAGAGATAGATCATTGTGAGGAGCGGTCCTGTTTAAGGAACCATCAGAAGGCAACAGGTGGACACACAGAAGCAGGTCACGTCTGACGAGGTTGGGCAGGGCCCCAGTGTCCCAAGGGTCTGTTGGGAAACGTTTGAGAAATACAACAGGCTGTCTCCCCATTGTGAAAATCCATAATTCCCACTGGCCTACTGGGGTCTCCTTACAGTTACAAATCTGTTGCACTTTGTTAGATAAATGATACCTCCCCCGACACACACACATTCACATCCACTCACTCCTTTTTCCTCAGGAAAACATTAGGTTCTGTGCAGAGAAAGAGGCAGGAAAATGGGCTAGAGCCAGAGGGGAGGAACGTCAGCAGCATAATAAGGAGTTTGCCCTGTGACGGCTCCGATTGGAGTTTTCAACCTCCCCAGGAGACAAGCCTCCCAGCAGGGTCACCCATCGGAGAGCAAGTCGGAGCCACAGGGTGGCCCCTCCTGAAGCCTCCCTTTTATTCATATTCATATTCATATTCATATTCATATTAAAAGCAGCATGCTTGGGGTTAGAAAGCAACATTTGCATGATTTATAAAATTAAACAAGAGACTTGAGACATGTGGTGGGCTGGCAGGGTCGTCTTCAGACCACGCTGAAGTGTCCTCTCTGCTTTCAGGAATAACCATGGTGGAGGCTGCAGGAGCAGTGCTGGGCCCTGGGGAGGAGACAGGGTTTGGAGCAAAGGGGTGGCCCAGGCTTGGCCCTGAGCTTGGGTCCGCCAGACTGAACCAAGGCGGAGGTTCCAATCGGACCCTGGACATGCCATGTTAGCCAAGAATGAAGGGAAGAATAAGGGAAAGTGAGATTGAATGGAGTAAAGACTAGATTTCCTGGGCAGGCCATTGGATGCCTTTATGAGAGCATCTGTTCAGAGCACTTAACTAGAAATAAATAATGAAAATGAATCCCATAGCACCAGTGATTTTCTGGTAGGCCAAGCATTGTCTAGCTGGTTAATGGTTTAGTTTTTTTGTACTTCTGGCCAAGATGGAGACGTAGGTAGATACGCTTTGCCTCCTCGCACAACTAAAAGAAGGACAACAACAAATTTAAAAGCAAAAAACAACCAGAACTGCCAGAAAATCAAACTGTATGAAAGGCTGACAACCAAGGAATTAAAGAAGAAATATTCATTAAAACTGGTAGGAGGGGCAGTGACAGGCAGCCAGGGTGGAGTGGACTCGCAGCAAGGTGGCGGCTGGTAGACTAGGTGGTCTCACATTTGTGTGCGGATAAACCGGGAGGAACAACTGGGGAATGAGATAGACCATACAACCCAGGGTTCCGTTGCAGGAAAATAAAGCCTCAAACCTCTGACTGTTAAACCTGTGGGAGTTGCAGTGGTGGGAGAAAATCCCAGCCTCACGGGAAAATTCGTAGGAGAGTCCCACAGGGTCCTAGAATGTACACAATCCCACCCACCCAAGAATCAGCACCAGAAGGGCCCAGGTTGCTTGTGGATAGTGGGGAAAGTGGCTGAAAGCTGCTGAGAAAGTGGTATCATTTCATCTCTGACCCCTCCCCCACATACAGTGCCACAGTGCAGCAAGGAGGGTTGCCCTGCCCTGGCCAATACCTAAGGCTCTGCCCCTTACAAAGTGACAGCTGTGCTGAGACCAGAAATATGGCCCAAATGAAAGAACAGATCAAAACGCCAAAAATAGAACTAAGCGATGAAGAGATAGCCAAACTATCAGATGTAGAGTTCAAAATGCTGGTAGTCAGCATACTCACAGAAATGGCCGAGTATGGTCACAAAATAGAGGGAAAAGTGAAGGCTATGCAAAATGAAATAAAGGAAAATGTATGGGGAACCAACAATGAATCGAAGGAAACCAGGACTCAAATCAACAGTTTGGAGCAGAAGGAGGAATGAACATTTGACCAGCACAGAATGAAGAAACAAGAATTCAAAAAACAGAAGCTTAGGAACCTCTGGGATAACTTTAAACGTTCCAATATCTGAATCATAGGGGTGCCAGAAGGAGAAGAGGGAAAGCAAGAAATTGAAAACTTATTTGAAAAAATAACAAAGGGGAACTTCCTTAATCTGGCAAAGGAAATAGACTTCCGGGAAGTCCAGGAAGCTCAGACAGTCCCAAAAAAGCTGGACCCAAGAAGGAACACACGCCAAGGCACATCATAATTATATTACCCAAGATTAAAGGTAAGGAGACAATCTTAAAAGCAGCAAGAGAACAGGAGATAGTTACCTACAAAGGAGTTCCCGTCAGACTATCAGCTGACTTGTCAAAAGAAACCTTGCATAGAAGAAGGGTCTGGAAAGAAGTGTTCAAAGTCATGAAAGTCAAGGACCTACATCCAAGATTACTTTACCCAGCAAAGCCTTCATTTAAAATGGAAAGGCAGATAAAGTGCTTTTCAGATAAGGTCAAGTTAAAGGAGTTCATCATCACCACGCCTTTATTATACAAAATGTTAAAGGGATTTATCTAAGAAAAAGAAGATACAAAATATGAAGAGTAAAATCACAACAAACACAACTATCAACAACTGAACCTAAACAAAAACAAAAACAAACTAAGCAAAAAACTAGGACAGGAACAGAATCACAGCCTGGGGATCACACAAAGAGTTACCAGCAGGGATGGGGAGAATGGGGGAAAAGGTACAAAAAATAAGAAGCATAAATGGTGGGTACAAAATAGACAGGCAGAGGTTAAGACTCGTATAGGAAATGGAGAAGCCAAGGAACTGATATGTACGACCCATGGACATGAACTAAGTTGGAGGGTGGGAGTTGCTGGTAGGAGGGTGTTGCAGGGTGGAGGGGAATAAAGGGGAGGAAAAAAATGGGACAACTGTAATAGCATAATCAATAAAATATATTTTTTAATGTTTTAGTTTTTTGGTTTTGTTTGTTTGTTTCAGAAGTTCATGGGCCAGTGGTGTCTAAAGCCACATGACGAACAAGAAAAACACTCCATTGCCATCCAAACCATCTCTCACCCCTGATTCCATTCTCCAACCCAGGCTGCAAAGAGCCATCTACCTATGAACCTACTGTGGAGAGTCACAGTGAAAACTGGATGAGTTTTTAAAAACAGAAGAAAAGATCATTTCTTTCTCGAGCTGCCTATGCGGCTTAAGGATTTGGGAGGGTTGGTAAAAGTGGCGCTGGGGGGAGCTGGGTGCGATTTTGGGGGTTGGCAGCTCTGTTCTGACTCTCCAGTCTAGAGCTCACCTTGATCTGTGGGGCTGAGCAGACAAAGAGCATTTGTCCCAACAAGCACGGGAGCTGCACCCACCCCAGCCTGCTAACTGCTGTTACCACGTCCCCCAGAAGGGCTTAACAGTTGGCCAAGGCCGGTGTTTATTCCTTGTGTTGCAGGAACCGGAAACTAGTAAATCTGAAGTGAAAACAGGTAAGTCAAAATGATGATGGCAACCCAGCTGCTGCATACAGTGGCAAGCTGCACCTGGGGCAGGTCCTTCGACACCCTCCGGCCTCTGCCCAGGGCTTGGCATCGGCGGGCCCAGTTCCATGCGGCTCTGGGCTCTGCTGTGTGTCTATGGAGACACGACAGGTGATTCAGTCCTTGCCCAGACAGTGAAATACAACTGGATGGCCGATAAACTGTGGAAGGAGAAAGCGCAGGGCTGAGAGTTCAGTTTTCCTCGAATGATACTGCGGGCCATCCTACTAGAATAGAGAGAACTACAAAATAATAAAGAAGAACAAAAGTCTAAATAGAAGAACCAGAGAGAAATGATTACATTTTCCCTTGAGTGACTTCATTCTTTTTTAAAACAAAAACAATAGCAGCAAATAATGAAATTAGAAAAGGACCAGCACAAATCAAGAAATATAGTCATCAAAAATCTCGTTCTGACTACAGGGTAGCTTCTTTAAGTATTTCAATTCAAAAGGTCTTATGTCTGACTTTATTATTAGCCACTACTGGGCTATTGTTAATTGAATTACATCATCAATTGAAAATTTGTAATTCTTTTGCACAGTTGTACAGTGCTATTGTAATCACAGATTCCATTGAAAATTAGAAATAAATCATTAATAAATACTCTTAAGTAATATTTTGAATACATAATGACTTTCTTCAGTAAAAAATCAGTTTCAGAGACATTATCTCATTACTCTCCCCAACATTTCACCAAGGTAGGGATTATTGGCAAATGCTATTTTCCTCCCTGTGAGTATTCAGAAAGCAGTTATAAACATGCACTAATTAGCTGAAACCATCCAGAGAGCTAAGGTGCCAGCGAGAGTCACGGTTCAGGCCCCCACATGTGGATGGTTACCATGGGAAGGGACCCCAGGGGTGCGAGAGTATGAGGTGACTCTGGGAGGGGCTTCCGATCAATGACTCAGCCCCTTTCTGCCAAATGAAGATCATAGCGTCTAAACTACTTCCTGTGAAGCACCACATAGCAGCTATGATGGTTAACCAGAGAATAAAAATGAGATGCTTTGAGAAATAAAAGTAATTCCACAGGTGCGAGGACTTCACACACCACACACCTGTCCTGGATCAGAACCAAGGGCATGGCGGGAGCTGGGTCCCGCCAGCAGCCACTCGGGCACTGTCATGGCACAGGGTTCTGCTCCTTGCTGTTCTGCCTGCTGCATTAGGGTGCAAGGAGGAGACGCAAACCTCTCTTTGCTCACTGCTCCCAGTGTGGAGGAGAAGCCTAGAGGGGGAGCCTGGGGTCTGGATGCCGCTGCCCTCAGGTTCAGCCTCCCTCTTGTATCTACGAGCGAGTGGGAAAAAGTAACCGAGGAAGAAAAGAAACACCCTGCTTTCTAAAAACAACAATAAAATTCGCCTTCTTGGCAAATGCGAGTGTGTCGGTCAGAGTGATGGTGATGCTTGCACAGCGCCCTCTGTGGCCGGGCAGAGTTCCAGGCCCCTGGCCCATGCTGGCCCACCCCTAGGAGGAGGTGCTATTACTGTTCCACCCACGGGATGGCCGGCCAGCCAATGGACAGGGACTCAGTGGCTTTCCCGGGGCCCAGGAAGGTGCCCACCTGTCTGTCCACGTCTCTCTCTCCTTCTCAGCTCTCTCTCTGCCCTCCCACCGGCAGCCCTCTGGTCCTCTACTGAGAAGTTCCTGGAGTCATTGACCAAGATTCACCTGTGCCCAGGGAGCAGGGGAAATCACATATTCCAGAACATGGATGATGGCAGAGGGGAGATGTGGGCAATGTTCTGTAGTTACCCTCCATGTAGGCCCTGTAGTTAGGGCAGCTCCAGGGACCCCCTCTCTGTTATAAAGCAGCTGAGAGGTGGGGGACAGAGGGAAAGCTCCCGTCTTTTCAAAGTAGAAGGCTAGTCACTAAGAAGCAGCACTTCACTCTCTTACAGGAATCGGATGTCGCCCGTGGGCTGGGCGGGGGCCTTCCGCATGAAGGACAGGGTTCTCTTCCAGGACTTGTCTGGGTGGGTGACCGCGTCGTCCTCTTTGAAACAAGCCATCAGTTTGGAACGAGGAGGGACAAGCAGGAAAGTGCTGGCTGTTTGATGACCAGACGCTCTTTGAGCCTGAGCGGAAATCCCACGAGGTCACGGCCGCTGCTCACAGTCACTGCAGCAGAGAATGGCCACTGGAGGTGACACACTCGGCATAGGGCCACTTGGGTTTAGGTGGCAACTGTACCACTGCAGGCTTGGAGTTCGAGACCAGCCCCCACACAACGGACCATTCAATAGGGAAAAAAAAGAAGTCGATGTGCTGTTTCACACCACAAATGATTTCCGTTTGGATCAGAGAAAACGCAAAAGTGGAATTCAAAAGAATTTAAAACAATGTGTTTTTCCCTTAAATATTGGAGTTAGAAATGCTCTTCTAAGCAAAACCATAACGGAAAAAATAATTTTTGAAAAATTCTAAATATAGAAGAAATAAAAAAGCTCAAATGATAAACTGAGAAAGTATTTGTTAGCTACAAAACAGACAAATATACACTGGTTATAGTGAATCTGTAAAAAGATAACCCAAAATTATGAAAGGACACCGCGGAAAATAAAACAAACTCAAACAATATTGTAAAAATAACTACAAGTGAGATACTATTTTATAGCCATCACACACACGAACTTTAAAACGTGCCATTATTACCAGTTCCGGCTGGGCCACGGGAGGGCGAGAGCCCTCGCTCACGAACACTAGAGTCCATTCCAGGCTGCTCTTTGCTGGGCCGGGGAACCTGAGAGCGTTTCCTGTGCTCAAAATGCAGTCACCTCTGATGCCAGTCCCTGCGTGCCTGGGCCTAGAAAGCATTACAGTACGGGAAATAAGCCAGGCCCCAAAGGACACATAGTGTGTGATTCCACTTACATGCAGTACCCAGAATAGGCGAATTTCTGCCCATAGATACAGAAAGAGTAGAGGTTACCAGGGCCTGGAGGGACAGACAGACAGATGGAGAGAGATTGTCTAATGGGACAGAGCTTCTGTTTAGGATGATGAAAAAGTTCTGGTGGTGGACAGTGGTGATGGTTGTACAACGCTGAGAATGTGCCTAATGCCAGTGAATTGTCCAGCTAGGCATGGTAAAGTTGGCATTGCGTCTGAAAACCACACACGCCGGCAGTCGCCCTAAGTTACCCTCTGATTTGGCACCTGACATATCTGTATAAGGCAACGTGGCAGACCCTGAGGTCCACTACCCAACAGCCTCTCTCCACTTACTCTCTGCAAACAGAACCCAGATGTTATGTTCCCATCAGGAGTGGGGACCTCTCGCTTTCAAAACAGGCTTCTCTCTTTCATGGGACTAAAACCGCTGCTACAAGTCCCTCTTCACCCGTGACCCCAGTCTGGCCAAGGACAGCACGTAGAGAGGGCTGGCGGGTCCTGGGAGAACAAACCTCCCCACCGGACCCTCTATTCCAGTTTCGGTACCAGTGCGAGACCTGCCACCCCAGCAGCCCTCCTGAGCCTGGGCGATGACGGACGGACAACACCCAGCTCACCGACGGTGGCCGAGCGGGAGAACAGAAACACCTTCGGGTCTTGTCATTGCCGAGTGTCTTCACCAAACACAGAAACCCACCGCCAGACTCAGTGAAAAAATCAAATGTCTTTCTCTGTCCGTCAACTTGCTGTTCATCAGCTCTCCTGGCACTGGCAACTAAAAGAACCCTGGCTCGCACAATGAACAGAAGTATAAGGATGTCCTAAACAGTGTTCATAATGGCAACAATTAGAGAAGCAAATATCCAGCCACAGGAAACCAGTTTAAACCCTTCACCTGATCTCTAGAAAACTTTGAGTGTCAGGAAATCATTGAAAATAAGCTTATGTATACAATAAAAGATGACAATATGATTACTAGGTGAAAAATATAGACATTGAACACAATGCCTCAATTTGTGTCTTCATGAGGTTATATACTCTTTTGGGATATCACACTTATATATGCGTCTGTGCACGAACAGTTTCTGGAAAAATGTGCAAGAAACAACAATAGTTGCCTCTAAGGAATCAAACTGAGTGTCCAGAAAAGGGGAGAGAAACTTTCACTTTTTAATGTTTTATGATAATGCTATCTGTGCCGTTTTCTCTCGTAAAGATGAGTATCAATATAGAGATTAGTTATGTGGTTCTCAGGAAAACACACATTTCATGCCTGTCTTTGGCTACATAATTGCCTCTCAGGATTAAGTCGTCCTTTAGTCCAGGAAACTCCTGTGGGACAAACACAATGCGGAGTTTGTCACTAGGGCTCTGGGGCTCCCCAGCTGTCTCAAAGCCTCTCCCATACGCACCTGGCACTGTGTCACCTGGCGAGTAGGAAGACCTGCTGGTGTGAATGGTGATGTGGTATATCCTGGGGCTCTGAGGCTGGGCTTGGATGTGCTGGGGCCACGTGTCCTCACAGGCCATCGGGCTGGCACCGTGGGAGAAGGCAGAGATGAGCAGGAAGCCAGGCCTCGGGCCTCGGGGACTCTCATCCTGCCCTTTCCTGTGTCACAAGAAAACTGGCTTCAGTCCAGAGACTGTTGCAGTGCATTATAATGTGACTGACCTGCATCCCACATGGCCTTTAAACCCCAGGTACCTGTAATGCTGCCTCCCCAGACTGCAGGTGCTTAAGGTCAAGATCAAAAACACACACTAAGCTATAGGGAGTATTTCCTTTCTAAACACGTTTTTAAAAAAACCTTTCATCTTTTAATTTTCTCAAAAGACCAGACTGCTTCTTTTTAAAGAGAGGCTTTAATATTTAAGTGAAAAAAAAGACAATAAAATAATTGTATCTTAATGTAAACTCCTGACAAGCTGCCTGCTACCCAAGGTCAGGGTGAGCTCCCATACGTTACTGCTGAAGCGAGACCCCAGTCTTCCAATGTGGTCAGGCAGCATGGCATCTGGTGGCTTGGCTTAACATCTTATCTTTATAATTACAAATTATAGAATTAGCGCTACAAAGTTCCACCAACTCTCAATGATTCAGAGGTGAATTCCACATCCACAGTGCTTTGACAGTGTCTCGTCCTTCCTCCTGTGGACTGTGTTTAGCTATTTCATGACTATTTTGCAGGCTAAGGGAGCAAAGAAAGTCACAGCCAAGCCAAGCCATTCTATACCTCATTAAATATAGTGGCAAAAAAAAAAAAAAAAGAACTGGCTCAGGAATGGAACAAAATGATCGGATAAAATAACATTTACAGAGTAAATGTTGCTTTTGTTCGCCACCTTGAATGGCTGGCAACAGAAAGAAAGAAAAAAAAGCTGACTGTGTAAAGAAACTCACAGGTGAAAATAAAGTGAGAAGTGAGCAATAAGACAGGGAACAAGCTCTCAGAATAAATATTCAAGACACAGGTTTTAAAAAATCAGTTGTTCGTTTTTATAATCCTCTGCACAGGTATTTTAGAAGTTCCACCAACATTTTGATCTAAGGAGCAATGGGAAGCAACGACAGCCCTCCTCTCCAGTAAGTTGGCTTTAAAAGGTAAAAATAAAACTTAAACATTTAGTGAAACTAGTAATAAAGGCAGTGAAGAGATCATCCATGCAACGAAATAATCAGACCTCATGGGAGTCCTGTCCTACCTTTGCACGCCGTCACCACCACCACCCTCTGCACAGACCGGATGCGGCAGCTGTTGCTTGCTCTCTAGGTCAAATCTCTCAGACTCAAGAGTCCTTCAGACATTGCCTTCCTCTGCTAGGTCAGCTTTCCATGACCAGAAACCTCTACACCACAAGGGACCTTCCTAGGACTCCCCAGCACATTCGGAGACAATGAATCATGAATCATAAAAGTGCATTCTCAGTCCAGGGGGCCCAGGGCCCCGCCCACTTTCAGAAGAGCTGCACAGAAAGTGCCACTTGTGCCCTTGTGGACAGCAGAAGGTGGTCTCTTTTCCCAAAGGCAGATCCAACCCAGATGCCTGCAGAGGAAGGGGGCTGAGTGCCGTGTCCCAGAGACCTCACCGCAGCCACAGTCCCATCCGTCCCTCCCGAGACCTGGTGATCTCTGCTCTCCCCCGGCATCTCGTCCACCTGAACCCGAGAAACACACACTTGCCTAAGAGCAGGCATTCCTTCAGGTCCGATGGGATTGCAAAGGTACATCCTTTAAACAAGCATGTCTTTTCTTCTCCATTCAGCTTCTCCTCTAATGGGCAGGAAAACAGCTGCTACCCTCATCCTGGCGCCCACAGGAACTGCCCCTCTGTGTCCACATCCAGCCTTAATCGCATTGGTTTGCTCTGAGACCACAGGCACATACTCACCGGGTTTCCACACCAACTCCATTCCAGCCCGGGGGCAGAGCTCGACATTACGGGCTCAGGCGTTGCCCAGGGCTGGCACCGGCATCCTCAGCGGGAGCCAGATGCCTTCCTCTTGGTCTCCCTGCATGGGAGAATGAAGGCCTCAACCTCAGTGTCCTCTGCTGCCGAGTCCATGTGGGCTCACAAGACCATCCCCGGTTGGGGTGCGGGGGTTGATGCCAGAGGGCCAAGGTGCACACTTGAAAGCTCCCCAGTACACTCCCCCCTCTCTCAATTGCACCGAAGCTGGACTTCACGAATTTGGAAACATATAAGCGTCACCTGAAACTCTTCATCATAGCCCACAGCCTACAGAGCTGTGGTTCTGAAAATGGGGTCACCAGAGCATGTGGTCAGCATCACCTGGACCCCCACTCCAGACCTACTACATCAGCAACCTGAGGGGTAGCGCCGAGCAGTCTGTGGCTTAACAAGCCTTCTTGGTTATTCTGGTACAAGCGAGATTTGACAAGTGCTGGTATAGATTCCCCAGGCTTCTTTCTAGACCCGTGAAATCAAAATCTGCAGGAGAAAGTACTGAAAATCTATTTTTATTCCACACCCCAGGAGACGCTTTTGACCAGGCACATCAGGAAAACACTGAGTTGAAGAATCAGCACAAAGTGAGTCAGGAGACCCTCCAAGCCCTTAGTGGCCCCATCCCATCTGGGATTTATTGATGAAGATGTTGGGCTTCTCAAAGGACGTTTGACCGATTACAATAAAAGTTATTAAAATGAGTATCTGAACACCAAATGTGTGCCAGGCATTTATCTGGACAAAAACCAAAGGCAAATGACACTACTCAGATTCATAACTACACGCAAGAAAATGGAGGCGACTCAAAGGCTACAGGGTGCATGAGTCTATTTCTGGAACGTTCTGAGAAAGGCCAAGCTGTAGAAGCTGAAACAGTTCCGTGGTTGCCAGCGGCTGGGGGCGTGGGGCCGAGTGACTGCGAAGGCAGCGTTTTGGGGGTGATGCAACTGTTCTGAACTGGCTGTGGCGGTCACACGCTGTATGAGCTTGGTGAAATTCACAGCCTGCGCACCACGACTGAACAGCCTTGTGTGAAAAGCAGAATGAGCAAAACAGAAGGAAGCTGACACACAAGTCCCTGTGGGGCAAACGGTACGTGGGATTTTTTTAAAGGAGTTAAATGAGATGAACTCTATGAAAGCCCCAAAATGGTGCACAGAGGTTACATTTGAACTTCATCTTAAACAGTGAGCAGAGTCTTTCCTGTCAGTAAAGAACAGAGAATCCTGATCACCACTGTTTTAAACTGTGCATCTGAGAGTTTTGCTATTTCTTCATCGCTTAGATTTATAGGCTCTGGGGCTTTGAGATCTTCTTCAGCCATTTTTGGTCTGTTCGTGCCCGTTATGGGTGAGGAGCGGAGCCTTGGACTCCCAGGTCGCTGGGTTGTGACGCTGTACGTGGGGGCGTGGTCAGAGCGGGGAAATGGCGGCCCCCTCTGCTGTTTTGCTCCACTGGGTGAGGAGCAGAGTCTTAGGTGGTTCCCCAGGGCAGGGCCACTCAGCTAGATCAGGAGTGGAAACATAGAAATGAAGATCTCAAGGAGGGTTAACAACAGGGGAGTGGGAGGAGGAGAAGGGGGGAGAAGGTACAGAAAATAAGTAGCATAGACAGATAGAAAATAGATGGGGGGCAAGTATAGTATGGGAAATAAAAATCTAAAGAACTTGAGACACATGGTCATAAACTAAAGGGTGGGTAATGGTGGGGATGGGGGGTAGGGTGGAGGGGAATGAAGTGGGGGAATAGAACAACTGTAACAGCATAATCAATAAAAAATAAATAAATAAATAAAGGAAACTAAAAAAAAGGACAGAGAACATTCTAGAATAAGACGAAGGCACTGGATGCACTGTAGTCTGCGCCCTGACTGCAATGTCTATCCAGTCTCACTGTTCAAAGTGGGGGCCGTGGGCCTGCAGCACCCATCCCACTCGGAGATCATTTGAAATGCAGACTCCCAGGCCCTGCCGCAGATCCCCTGAGCTGGTTTCTGCTTTTGAAGAAGCTTCCCGGGGCTTCCTCTACATGCAAAGGCCTGGGTGCACTCCTCTAGAGGGTCTGCCCACATCTCAGCCCTGGGAAGGGTCCCTACCTACCCTGTGACAACCTCCCCCTCTGGCCAAGACTGGTTGGTTAGAATCGGCCAGTTTCCCCCAGACCTCAGTCCATTCATTGATGAGCAGCAACCAATTGGGCTGACTGCAGACTCTGGATGTTTCAAGAAACATGGATTGTTTCAGCTAAAAGGCGAAGGACAGCTGGAAAGAGCTAGGCAACACAGCGAGCTGAACCTGAATGTCACCTCTGAGAGCCCTCTGGCTGCTCCGCTCTCCTTCACTGGGATCGGTGGGAGAGGGCTCTGTGTGCGTGCTTGTTTCTGCTTTTCCACCTACGGAACCTGACTGTGGGCCTGGAAAGGGCCTGGCATGTGTGAGACCTGCCTGGAAGGCGGCTTTGAGGGAGGAGGAAAGAAGGCTGAACATCTGCAGCAATCAAATTCTAAAGATTCGTACTGGAATGCACTATAGTGAGGAGGCCGGGGTGGGGCGGCGGACAGGCAGGGAAGGAACCAGAGGTCTCTGAACATGGGGAGTGTGCCTTTGGTAACTCACTAACAACCTTTTCCCACTGTTGAGACTGACCAGTGGTTTTTTGTTTTTTTTAAAGATTTTATTTATTTATCTTTAGAGGGGAAGGGAAGGAGAGAGGGGAAGGGAATGTATGGTTGCCCCCTGTGCGTCCCCTGCTGGGAACCGGCCTGCAACCCAGACATGTGCCCTGACTGGGAATCAAACTGCGATTGTCTGGTTCACAGGCCCGCGCTCAATCCACTGAGCCACACTAGCCAGGGTGACCAGTGGTTTTTAATTACATTTACTGTGGTGACCTTGGTTCATAAGATTATGTAAGTTTCAAGTACACAATTCCATAACACGCCATCTGTATATTGGACTGCGTGTTCACCAGCCAAAGCCGAGTCCCCTTCCATCCCCACACATCGGACCCTTTTATCCTCTTCTGCCTCCCCACCCTCCCCGCCCCCTCCTGCTAACCACCGTGCAGTTGTCTGCTTGACCAGTGTTTTCACACACACACTGGCCATCCTAGTATCGATCCTACTGAGCATCTCAACATTCACCCAGATAAAAATTTTAAAGCCTACAGATTTCTGGAGCTCTGGGACCATCTGTGTAAGAAGAGAAAACTTCTCACAATTCTCTTCAAACTCAACCATAGGCTCTTAAAAGTGGGAAATCAATGGACATTTACATATTGTACATTCAGCAGGCATGTTGGCTTTGCTTCATTCTTTATGCTACTGTACACTTTCTTCCGTTAACAAGAATGGTTTAGTGCTTGCTCCACCCAATGGTCCTCTCAAGACCACTCTCCCTGCTGATCAAGAACAAACCTGATGTTAAACTCCTTGGTATTTGCTTATTTGCAAAACAATACTTAAGACAGCAGATGGTGCAAGAAGGTATCAGTGGGATCTCTCTCTACTTGACATTTTACTTGAGGTGACAAGCAAGATATGGAGGACAAGCTCGGAAGTTAGATACATGACCTTGGACAAGCGACTTAATGTTGGTGAGCCCCACTTTTCCCATCTGTGGAATGGGAGACTGTTCCATTTCTCACAAGCTTGTTGCAGGGACTGTGCGTACCAGCAGAGGGACACACAGCAGAAAGGGAGGGCTATCATGAGAAAAGTGAAAGCCAGGCCACCAGAGGTTGGAGCACAGAGGGATCAAAAATTGCTTGCAACAATGAGACTCAATAATTCCAGGTCGCCCCAAGCTGTTCGGTGTAACATGCTTAAATGACAAAAAAAAAAAAAAAAACAACAAAAAAACACAACCCCCAAAACAAAAAAAACCCCAAAACCTAAAGCCTAAATTGAAGTGCTTTTTGTTTCCAGTTGATTGCTTTATTCTTATCCTAGCTTACTGAGCTTTTTAATTCTTGATTTTGTCTGTGCCTACTGTAGTATCTGAAAAATCTTTTATTTCTTTACCTATGAAAATATTAAGCTGCACACAACTAGGAAGACAACACATTTTATGTACAATTAAATCTTTTTCTTCTCCAAGACTCGGTTATGTCTCCTGTAATCATACCAAAAACTATTCTGTTTTTGTCCACAAAGTTAAGAAATTTTGTTCAGTGTGTTAGGAGAGGCTGAGAGACCATGACTGGCTGGTTCTGAGCACGGAACGTGATGATACAGGCAAGTGCTTCAGTGCCCGGCACAAGGAAACTGCTCGGTATCGCCGGCCAGAACGGCAGAGATGGCGGCAACGAGGTCGGGGTTCTCCATTCCTCTCATTCTGTGGTCTAGACGCTGTACTAGTGAAATGTCACATGGTCTGGACATGTCTGTGTCAAACGAACCCAAACAACCTCCTAAACAACTCACCTCTTTTCTTGTGCATTATTGCAATTTCAGTAGAAGTCCTATTTGATATAACACTGACCTGTGATTTGGAATATTGTGTGCCCATGATGATAAAAGAAATTTCTCTAAAATGATTTTATGTAAACTTCTCGCAGACTGGCTCTCCTTTAATCCACATTATTGTTACAGTATTTTGCCAAACCCACCAGCAACCATTCCATTTCAAAGCTTGGAATAAATGGAGTCCATATGGACTTGAGTATTTTGTAAACAAGACCTCAAAAACTAGACTTATCCCAACTGCTCAAGTGTTTTATACTTTCATGAAGATCTTAGAATATGAAGTCTGTCTGGAAAAAGTCCAGCCATTGTTAATGTAACGAACACAGTTTGTGCATCACTGTAACCTGGCAGCAAAAAAACATGGACTGGAGTGCACATGCGTGAACAATGATGACTTCACTGTACTGGTCAGAGCGGGTGGTACACGCCATTGAGTGAGCACGTGGACTGTGTGGCCATCCATCACCTTCAAAATGACTGAGCAAGTAGAGCAGCAAATCTGCATCACATTTTGCGTTAGGCTTGAACATTCCCTCTGCAGAAGCTGTTCAGATGATTCAGAAGGCTGCAGCTCTGGGCAACTGCTGATTGGCAGCTTCATCACAACAGTGCACTAGCTTATGCATCATGTCTCATGCAGAGTTTTTTGGTGAAACATCAAATCATCCAGGTGACTCACCAAACTAAAATCACTTCTGAAAGAGAAGAGATTTCAGACTGTCGATGAGATTCAGGAAAATAAGATGGGGCAGGTGATGGCGACTGGGAGAACTGTGTGAGGTCCCAAGGTGCCTACTTTGAAGAGGACTGAGGTGTCATTGTCCTGTGTGCAGTGTTTCTTGTATCTTCAATGTCTCTATTTTTCATAGGACATGGCTGGACATACTTTCTGGACAGTACATCCACCTTCCAGCTGCTGTTACTTCCAAACTATTACTAAGAAAAGAAAGTGTTTCAATAAGGCAGATGAATCAAAACAGAAAATCTGACTTGTGCCAGCTGGGAAACACGAGCATGAAGACGGGAGGCAGAGCCACATGGGCCCGTGGGGAAAGGAGATCAACAGATGGAGATAATCACGTCTCTACATTGTCTAGTCCTGAGGTTATCTGGACTTCCAAGGCATGAACATATGGTTGAGATTATCAAATCCATCTCAAGTGTTCAGATTTTAAAAAGAATTCTCAAAATTGTGGTCCAATTAGAAGAAAAAGCACGGAGAGCACCGCTTTCTCCCAGGACACCCAGATTTGCACAGCAGAGAAGAGGAGCAGGCTGGCCTTCACTTCAGCATCTCGCGAGGCCTGGCCCAACACCCTGCCTACGGCTGCCGTGCCGTGAACGCTGAACTGACTTCTGTGATCCCCACCACGTGGCCACCTCCTCCACCCCCCAGACGAGGAAAGCTGGCTCAGAGAGGCGCAGGGCAGATGCCGGTCCATGTCGTGTCCACTGTCCTGTCACTGGGCATCTACCACTCTTGCCTGTCCACTTCTGCCATCTTGCCCCCACTCTGGCAAACTGGATCCCGGCCAGCGAGTCGGAGCTGGCCAGTCGGGAGGGCAGACCCTCAGTGCTGCTCCACTGTGTGCTGAGATAACAGGCGGCAGCTGCTGGAATAAAAGGACCGTGTTTTTGTCATGTACAAGGACTTTTTGCCCACATTTTTGAGGGGAAAAATAAGGATGTGCATTATACATGGGTAGTACCAATTCTGTATCTATATAAATGTTTTCAATTCTTTTATTTATGCTTATGCATTAAAAGTACAACTCTAGAAAGCAGTCACAATATTCATATGCAAAATAATACTTTTTCTAATACAAAAAAACCCCAAGTACCTAAATATAAATAAGTAATTGAATTGAAACAATTCTTCCCCTCAAACTTTGGGCAAAAACATGGGTGTGTGTTATACATGGGAGCACACTGCACACAGCTAAACACAGCACTTGCTGGCTCTTCAGACCCCAGAGAGGTCAGGACTAACCCTGCGACCCCCAGAGTGGAGTCTGGCTCGACGACCATCAGGTAGGTCTCGGTCCAGGCAGTCAGAGCTGCGCCGTCAGGAACAGGGCCTCCAGAAACAGGGTCACTGGGGACAACAAACTGACTTCCTTTCACCAACAGTTGCTTTTTGTGAAGGGAACGTTAATGCAGTTTGGCTGTAAAGAATAGCCTTGGCCACAGAATGGGCTGGAATTTGCCTCTGAATAGAAGAGCTAGCCAGTACTCTGAAGATCACTGGCTCTGAGGACAGGCTAGTGTCGGTCCTCACTGAGGGGGCAGACTGGCCCTCCCGCCCAGAGTGCGGTACTGGGGTCCCTCTGAGTCCGTGGGAGCACCAGACAATTTTACCCCCCGAGGTTGTTGCTATTCTCATGGATTATAACCTCCAAGGCAGCAAACCATACACAGCAAACTAATGCTGAGACTTTAGAACCTAAGGAAATCCCTTAAACACTGTTACTGTTTGTCCATAATTCAGCACTCGCATTGCACTGAATAAAAAAGCGTAGTATGTAAAGCATCTCTCAGTACCGTTCCCTTACTGGATGCTGAGATGAGAACGGGAAAATCGTAGCACATGTCTGCCATCTGTATGTGTACTTGTCAACAGTTCTGTTTTGGGATAAACAGTTTTGAAGTCAGAATCAATTCAACTTGTTGGAAGATTAGCCAAGGAATAGCTGAGAAGACCAAAACAGAACACAAAGTCAGATAGTCGAAAGAATCAAGCACAATTTCTGTTTCTCACCAAACATTCTGTTTTGTCACAGCCTGAGAGAGAGCGTGTAGCAGACAACGTTTGGGGGCAGAGAGACAGGGAATCCGAGTTTCCTCAAGTGAAAAATTCTTCAACTGAGAACAGATGTCTTTGCTACAGTGCAACTGGAAGTCATTCACTGACCTCCAGGAGACCACAGTTAACAAAAAAGTCGATTTAGCATTTACACTATTTTGTTTCACATTTCTACCATGTGGAGACAACCTACATCGGGTACAGTGCCTAATACAGACAGACGGTCCCCATCACCATACAAACGGCAGCATTTCCCAAAGTCAATCTTGAGGGAAAGTAGTTCCATGGTTGAAAACACTGCCCGCTGTAGAACTATTTAAAGAGAGACGGCAAGGGAAATACTAAGACATATGCCAAAAAGGTCAGGGGAGAAGGGGGCACAAATGGGACGACACAGATCGGTGGGAAACACGAACAGCTTTGAGAGGCAGCTGGTGCAAATGAAAGAAGGGACGTGGCGACCTGGCAGCCCCAGATTACAGAAAACAAACGAGAACACGTACGCTGCACTCGGGGGGCATCTATTTTCTCCCTAAAAGAAGTCATTTATAAAGAGCAAATTGGTCATTTGTACTTACGGACTGGACCCTTTTCAAGCCCGTCAAGAAATGATAGATTATTGAAGCATAGCAGTGCTTTGGTTTTGGTGTACACACAGTCAAACCCTGCAAAATGATTCTGTTCACCTTTCCCCAGTTATTAATTAAAAAATCATTGTTTCCACTTACTCTTACTCTGTGATCTTTTGAGCAAAACAAGAGAGTGCCACACATACCTCTCCAGGACCGGCGCCACCGCTTTCCCCTCCTTCCCAGTCCCGCCCCCACCTCCTCCAACCAGGCAATTGTTTAGATGGGGACAGCGGGGGGAGGAGGGCCAGTACAGCGTTCACACCATTGTCTGCTGTTCACTCAACCCCAGCGCCCAGATATATTTGTTGTCCCTGGAGACAGCATAAAGTGCTCACGGAATAAAGCAGGGCTGTGGAAAGCTCATTAATACACTGTGAAAACCCTCTCAGCAGGAGGCCCGTAACGCAGAAGGGCGGCCGGGTGCCAAGCACTGTGAATGCCCCGTGCTCTGCTCCTGGACGGTGTCACACACACGCAGCTACCCTCTGGGAGGAAGGCTCCCTGAGTCCCCCTGGGCAAGAGCCAGAAGAAACTCTTCCTCAGTCAGGTTAGCGACTGACACCCAAGCAAGTTCACCAACTCTCAGCTTTGCCCTCATCTACAGGACTGCCAGACAGATGCGCAGGAACGGCTCCTCCTGGCTGTGCTCCCAAAACGAGCGAGTGGCGTGGGGCCAACCCTCCCGACAGCGAGGAGGAAGTCCGACAGGTCTCGCTGCCCTCCAGCAGATGCACGATGACAGCGGACTGGCGTGCTGAAATGGAACATGTGCACTTCACCGGAGTACTGGGGACCTTTCAAAGTGCCACCCCAAATCAATTCGTACGCCCACTCCCTCTGTGCAAGTGCCCGTCGGACCCCCGATTCCACTGTCTACCTGGGTGACCACGTCAGAAGCTGGACTTCTGGCCCCAGGGGCCCTTCTGAACCTTGGGCTGAAACTGGCTGCCTGTGTGGACCTTCTTCACTCACGCACTGTGACGGGGAGACAGAAGAGGGTGGAGTGGAGGACGACGTCTCCATGATGCCTGAGGTGTCAGCACGGGCCCCTCTTCGTCAGCTGAGTAAGGGCAGCAATCTAACGAAATGACACCGCTGGGAACTTAAAAGTCGTGCAGGGCCCTCCCTGGTGTGGCTCAGTGGGTTGGGTGTCATCCAGCAAAGCACAGGGTCCCCAGTTCAATTCCTGTCAGGGCATGCACTTGGGTTGAGGGTTCGGTCCCTGGGTGGGACGCACATAAGAAGCGACCAGACTGATGTTTCTCTCTCGCATCAATGCATCTCTTTTTCCCATCCATCCCCTCTGTCTAAAAATAAATAAAATCTTTTTTAAAAAAGTCACACAGGGAAAAACAAAAGACTTTCCTTTTTTATTCTTTTACATTCTGCACACTGACACCGAGGTAACAGAAAATGACCGAAACTTAAATACGAAAGAATTCTTTACAATTAAATTCACCATTTTATACATTTACTTACTCACATGTCAGTGAAAAATCACCAACTTTTATGAAATACAACAAATTATATTTAAAAAAAGGGAAAGATCTCATTAAAAAAATACACCCACGGGTGAAAAGAACAATGCTCTGGACGCGGTCACATCCTCCTCTTCTGCGTGCTTATGTACAACACTGCAAAGAAAAAACAGAGAAGAGCTGAAAAGCTGTCCTGAAGCGGCGTAACAGCAAGTTTTAAAAACAAACGATTCTGGCCTGACGCCTCTGCCAACGTGGAGGGACTTTTCACACTGCACGGGAACCTCGAGCGCCGCTCTAAGACTGGTTCTGTGGACACAGACTTGGGTGTAATGTCTCAGGGGACCAGGGTCTAGTCTGGGTCGCACATCAGACTGACTGCTGTGACCAGGAGGATGAGACACAGTACCTGTGACAGCCACCAGAATCCCAGGCTGTTTTATAGTTATGGGTAATTCTAAAGTAAAGTAAAAATCAATAAATCTTACCAGGCTAGACTGTAGATTACAAATGAAGACCGTATTTCCCCCAGCTCCCCAACAGAAACTCTAAATTTTCTGTTTAATTTTTTAATTGCAACAGGATAAACAAGGGCTGAGGAGTTTGTTATTAACCACACAAACAAAAAACCCCAAGTCCTCATTCTGAGTCCCCTGGTAAAATATCAGCCTTTCGTGTTAGTCAAAGTTCTGCTTTGCCAGTGCCGTGGTGACTCCCAGACTGAACTCTTCAGGAGAACTGGCACAGGGTGCGGTGGCTGGGTCACCCTGGTCGCCCTGCACCAGGGCTGTGCCTCCCCTTCCACCCCTCCAGGCTGACTCAGACTCCGAGATTCGTTCCAAGTGAACATTCGGAGATACCGTGATCAAAGAACAGAGCGAAGAACAGAGCACAGATTAATCAAGCAGGCCAAGTTCCTCTGCTAAGAGTCAAGGATGTGACTCTGGGACTCTAAAAATAATTACCACTGATTACCAAGTCCTGGAAAAAGCCAGATGAAGGGAAGTGTCAGAATGACAGTGACGGCGTCCCTGGGAAACTGGACACGTTCCAGATGTCACGTTCACATGGCAGGGTCCTCCCTATTGCTACTCCCGGAACCTGCACCTGACTGGCTATCAGTCGTCTTGAGATGGAGGAAAACCATACATTTCGTAGTAAGTGTAAGAAGTGAGAACGATGTGGAAAATGGGAGGGGAGATTTTATGTGCTGGAAGATCGAAAAGCAAACAAAAGACAGGTGCTGCGAACCACGTGGTAAGAACACAAGACGGACACCTACAGGAAGTCGGGGTGTTCAGTTCACAGTAAAAGGGTCGAACTTCTAGGGGGCTGAAGAAGTCACCCCGTTACTAGAGGATGCCCATCGATAAAAAAATCCAAACGCAAGAGTTCCGGACCTCCATCTGGGGAATGGGACCAAAATGTGGGAAGGGACCAAAAGCTGAGTAACTTTAGAACCGTGTTTCCGATCTGGTCATTTCTGTCAAACTAGAGGAGATACTCTCCACCAAGAGCATCCGAACGACTAACAGAGCATGAACGGCACAAGCTCACTGCCCAAGGACACAAAACGAGGGCGACTCGCACAGCTCCAGCTCCCAGTGTGCGAGGCAGGGTCGCAGGGACACGATCGAGTGTACTCAGCAGAGCAGGTTTCTGGGCCGGTGCGCCAGGGCCCTCCGTTCCTCCTCAGCACAGGGAGGGGAGGGTTTCCGGTTCCACAATCCATGAAGCTACTTAAAAAATGGCCACACAGAAGATCTGAGATACAAGAATTTAAAAGTAACAAAGCAAAACTAAAACTGAACTTCTGTGTTAGCTAGAAAACTCGCTGGTGATTCTGATTATAAGCACAAAGGCTTACTTCAGATGTTGTACAATTACGGAGGGAAGGAACGTTACCGTTGTTTCCTCGGATAAACGCATCCCCATACTTATTCTTCAGCTGTCCATTCACATATTCCTCCGTCTGTTCCAAGGCTATGTTCATGTAGCCGTCCAGACAAGCCAGGACGCCTGGAGACAGATTCAGTCAAAGAGAAAAGCAAGTAAGAAGTGAAAATTACAGGGCATACCTTAGAGTCCATAATCTCTTTATTTATTAGCCTTCACATGCTTAATATAAAAATTCGCAGTGTAGCCAAAACGCAGTAGACGGAAGCACAAAAAAAAGTCTTTACTTCATGCCCATCTGAACAGAGGCTCAGAGACATACTGTGTGAAAGCAGGAAAAACAACCAACTGCCACTTTTCTCATGGGATGTGTGGAAAAGCAACTTTAGACACTTTCACAAAGTGTCTAAAGTAGATTCACAGAACACCCTTCTCTGAAAACGAAAAAGGGAGTGGGCAGTTATGTGGGAGCAAATGACCGTTAGCCAAGACTCCTCACTTCCAGCTGCACTCCTCAGTTTAGCCACCAAGGGAAACACGGGTCTGGGAGATTTATTCCGTTCGTTCACAGCATCCCCTGCAGGGTGAAGAGGAAGTCCCCACACTCTGTTAAAACAACAGAAGAGGGGACAGCAGGTGCCCCTGCACCTCGCGGTGGGAGCAGCTCGCGAACATGAGGCAGCCCGCCGCACGGTAACACGTCCCTTTCTGTTCTGTTACAGTTGTAACACTTTAAAATCCAGGCTAATACAGAAAAACGGCTAAATCATTCTAGGGAGCTTTCAAGGAAATTGGGTGAAATCTTTTTAGTTGTGCCAAGATGGTTTAATTTTGCAAAATTTGACCAGGTTTGATTTTTTTCAAAAGATGAAACAAATACATAAAAGCCTCTCACTACTCTAACTTTAAGTGACCTTTTCTAGGAAAAAAATTTTATGTGAAAGCAAATACTACAAATTTGATTCAATTAACCAAGTCCATAGCTTCATTAAGCCTCAACTTCATTAATATGCTCCTCACTCTCTGCCTCTGGCCCCATTATCCTCTAAACAAAACTTTCTTTTCAAAATTGTGTGTAATGAGAGCACAAGACATTAACCCAACAGAATTCTGCCAAAGCCTGTAAACTTTCAAAGAATCAGAAGGGGCTGTGAACATTAACAATTACTTCCTGTCAAAAGAATACTTAAGATTCAACTTTACAGATTATTTCCTGATGTATTCATTTCATGATTAAACAACCATAAAGGAAACTTCTGAGACATAATATGCAAATCTTTTTGAAAATGCACCAGAAACATTTAAAAATAAAATGTCCACTTCTAGTAAAAACACCTATTCTCATAGCAAAAATTTGTTTCTTTTTAAGAAAAAGGTTCCAGGAGGTTATAATCATAATCCCTTCCTTAACAGATAAAACTACAATGACTCACAGAAAACACAAAGTTTTTGTCCAACCTAAAGAAACACTGTTTCAGAGAGCTTAGTTTTTGTTTGTTTGTTTGTTTGTTTGTCTTTTACTTGACCACAAAATGAGAGCATTCTTTGTAGTAGTGCTCTCAACAGTGTACAACATTTTGCTTTAACAGTACAGAAGCCATGAACAGGCACATTCATGAAAGGAAAAAACTTACGATTGCTGCCCATGGGAAAGGCTGGTTAGCCTCGCTAGTAAACAGAGAAATGGAAATGAAATATTACTTGTTGCCAGTTAGGATGGAAAAGTGGAGATCAAGGCCGACACAAGGGTTGGCGTGAACCTGGAGCACGCACACCGTCCCAGGGCCGCCTGTCTGACTGGCCCCGACTCCGAAACCGCAGCCCCGGGAGCCGTTCTAAAGAGATGCTTGGACAAGTGCTCAGGACACACAGGGAATGAGCAGAGCTGTTTGCAATAGCTCCCATTGCTAAACACCAGAATGTTTGCTCACGGGGGCTGGTTTAAAACCCACGCAGAACTGTGGTGCCCCCACACAAGGCACGCCCACACGGCCGCTGCACGGTGGAGGGCGGAAGGCATGTTTTCCTATAAAAACACCAGGGCGCAGGCACGGCCGACCCCACGCACGGGAAACCATACCGAGAGGGAGACAGGACCAACTCGGTAAGGCTCGTTGGTTCTGGACAGGGGAGTTTGGGGAGATTCTGCTTTCTTCTGGAGCCTACTTTCCTCCACCATTTGCTTTGAAATTTCTTCAAAGAAGAAAAAAATCCACAACATATATTACCTTTAAAAACAGAAAGTTTTTCACTAAAGAGCAGAGACAAGAAGGTCAGGCTGTTTGCCGATCCTCAACGAGGTGGGCACTGAGAAGACACCACACACACTGTCTCCCCCCGAACCACCTGCTGAGCGTGCGCCGATCTCCAGAAGCGGACTGCGTGCCCTGTTAGGCTCACCGAAGGTTCCAGAGTGAGAGGCAGACAGAGGGACTTCACACTATCTCACTGATCAGTATAAATCCGTTAGTTTCACTTTAAAGTCAAATTAAACTAGAGATATGTTAACAATATTAAGAAACCGAAACACTACGTGAACGGCAGAGTGGTTTCTTAACCAGGCGCCTGAGCCGAGTGTGGGCTGGCATCGCAGTTCCCGCCTGACTCGGTGGGCACAGCCGGCAGAGATCTCAAAGGACTTCTGTGAACAGAACGTGAAAACCAAAGTGATCGGCACACACAGGACCCACAGGAAGCTCTCAGGAAAACTGAGTGTACATGTGTGAAAAGAGAGAAAAGCTCAAGAGATTACTATCCTTATTCAGAAAAGAGACCAAGAATTATTCAAACGAGAGACTAAGAGAAAGGCTATTAACCTCTGCCAATGAATTAGTTTTTTGTACCTGGAAAACATTCTAGGGAATTTAACCTGTCTAAATGTTAGAAGATTAGGAATTTAGTGACTTTAAAAAAATGGAATTTGGAACGGTTTCCCCCACAAAGTTGACTTTGGTAGTGTCACTGCCTTAAAAAGAACGTCCTGTGGAAGCACAGATGGGTGGTTCCAGGTGACCCGCGTGTCCCTGAGCGGGAAGCTCCCGCTGGGAAATGACACCACCTGAGTCACTGCCGCTAGCCCCCAACCCTCCCGCAGGAGCGAGTGCAGCTGTGCCCCGAGCTCCTCACCCCTCTGGCCCTTCCTGCTGGAGGGGGCTGGGCCCCAGGGGAAGCAGGCATGCGATCTCAAAGCAGAGGCAGGGGACGATAGTCACACAAACACCCCAGAAGTCCAAGCACGAGCTGGTGTTGGAGTGGTGTCTCTGAAAGCAACCGTCTCAGAGGCAGAGCAAGAAGCGGGCACAGAAACTGTTGACAACCAAGGCTCTCGTTGGTCCACTGGGTACGTTTAAGAGATTAATAAAAACCAGTAAGTCATATTCAGTTACTTAATTACACCAGTGAGAATGAAGCAGAAAAATATTACCTCGATAATCCACTCCAGAATTCAATTTTACCACAACAGGCCGTCCGATGATTTGCTTTAAGAAGTCACTGGGGGTTTGCTTCCGTAGACTCATTGTAGCAATCCTGATCAGAAACCTGAAAAGGAGCAATAAAAGTAAGGACAAAAGTTAGCTCCTCAACTAAAAAGCCTGAAGCTCTTACAGAAGACCCAGCAGCAAAGCAGCACATGTGAAGACCCAACATGACCCCACAACCACACACCAGCTCACGCGTCTGCAGGACCTGCCAGGGCCGGACACGAAGCTAAGCCCTTCCCACGGACCCTCACGCCGGCCCTGACCCAGCCTCAGTGCAGAAGAGCCTGCGTTCACGGAGCAGTTCATCACCACTTGTCGCTGCTGCTGTCTCACACACACGCCTACATACCCACTGCCGCCACTTCCACACTCCCACTTCCGAAATGCTGATTTTATGTACGCTGAGCGCTCTGCTCAGATCCTGACAGATATACCAGATTTAGTCTTTACAAGAACCCTGGGAAGAAGTGCTTCGTGTCCACGTTGTGCTAATGAAAATAAAGGCACAGAGAAAGATGAAATAATTTGCCCCCAAAAGCAATGGAAGTGGCATTCAAGCTCCAATTAGTCCTATTTTGAAGTCTGTTGTATGCAGAGATACTTACAAACTACTGATGCCAAAATTGTACCCCTGGAAGTAATTATAATCACAACTGAGTTACTGTTTGAATGTCCTCCATGCCAGCACTTATATAAGCACTTACCTTGCCCTGCTCCACTTAAACCACACTACCTGGCGAAGCAGGTATTGTTTGTATTCTCGTTTTAGAGCTGAAGTAGACACAGAAAGGGTTAAACATCATGCCCAAGGTCACACAGCCAGGAAGTCATGGCCAAAATCACAGCCTCACACAGCCTCCTGAAAGTTGCTAATGCAGCCAAAGATTTTTATTCTATTATAATTATAGCAGACATATACTCAACGTAATGAAGAAAAATAGTTTTAAAATGTAAGCACAACAGGAGTCTGAAACACAGAAAGAGCATTACACGCCCCACCCACCACATGAGACATACAGAATTGCCCATCACTCCTTTCAAAACCCACCTTGTTATGTAAGAGTTATCGCTCAAAATACTGCGGTAAACAAATGTAACCCAACTGCAGGTAAGCAAAAACCGAGAGTACAAAGGCTTTGGAAACAGTGAGGAAGTCAGCATCTTAAGTTAAAGAACGGAAAATACAAGTTTCAAAAACTGCTCTTGAGTCTGTGGCTGTTATCGGGACCACCTTCATCCACTCTGTCTCTCTGAGGCTTGAGAAAAACTTAATGGGATCAACTGATTATTTTGCTCCACAGATTTTAATCCAACTTTCCCACTGAGTTGCCACTTAATTTTTTTGCTACAGTCTCAGGAGATAACTGAAATTATCACACTATTCCGGACAACCACTATTCATTCAGGACCCAGACCACACAACAATGTTATTTACGCTGTTCTGAGCACAGGGGAAAATAAATAAATACAAAGTAAATACTGAAACGGATTCAGTATCTTTAATGAGTTTAATAAAAAACAAACCTTCCCACTCGTCTGTAAACAGCCTTGTTTACGGAGGGAACACATGCTGTGTTCCAGTCTTCGGTTCAGTTCCTATCAGATGCTAAGTCCCATTAAATGCCAGTTTCTCCATATACCAGACTGCGATCAAACTCGCTGCTTATTTTGTGTTCAAAAACCACTCACATGCATCATGATGTGAAAATCTAGTTCACAAGGATATTAACTAACTTCTCCAATTAATGCCAGAAAAAGAATACACACCTAGACTATTAGGTATGTAACTGATGGTGTTAGTTATTTTCAAATTCTTATTAATATTATCTCCCCTCACCTTTCTAAAAGGCGGATACCATTCTTCTTCTAAGCTCATCAAAGATCACACCTCTGCCAGTAAACCCCATCCTCACTCCCACCAACAGCTAACGGCGGGTTCTTTCTGAAGGCATTCAACACCTTAAACTTTCTTCCGCACCTAAGTGTCAGGCACAGGGCGGGGATATAACACCAAGACATGGCCTTGGGTCCTACGAGATCACATTCCAGAACAGGCAACACAGCAAAACAAACAAGCATGTAAAGGGAGAATTTTTGAAGTTGTGTGCACTTGGGTAGAACTAGGCAGAGAACAGCACACAGAGGAGACGCAGTCAGCCCAGGCCTGGCAGATTGGGCTTCTGGAAGTGGCACCTGAACTGAGTGTGCAGGAAAGGGCCCGCCAGCGGAAAGGAGAGTGAGCAGGGCAAAGGTGCCGGACAGTGTGAGCAGCTCTACATGGAAGAGGGGGACAGGCCGCAGCCCCAGAGGTCAGTGGGGCCGTGTTCCTGGGTATCACGGCAGGTCGGGCTACAGGGGCCTGCGCTTGGGCCTCTCAGGCCGTTTCCCAAATGTGAGCCATTTGGGCCACTTGGAGATTCTGGGTAGGACCCGGCACCCTTTTGCATGAGCCTGGGAAAACAGTGTCGGTGGAAGGGGACGGGGACACTGGAGGGAGGGTCTGAAGCAGGGGCGTGGAGCACCGCTGTCCCCCAGGGCACATGCCACCTCACTCTGCTCTGGCACCACTGAGCTTCACATCTGGCTGTATGTGATGGAACCTGTCACTGCTTACTACCTTATATTGCTTAATTATTTTATACAAGTCTTTTCTCCCTCAAAAGAGTGTGATCCACATGAAAGGAGAGACTAACAGCACGCTTCTCCTTTGTTCTCCAGAGCATCTATATTCTGCTAAATCTCTTGAAAAAAAAAAAGATATTTTTTAGAGTTATTTAAGAGTTACTTGGAAAGAGGATGTTGCTTCAAACACATTTTATCCATCACTTTAGGAGAGCGCAGCTATTACACTCATCTTCATTACGCTTCCCGGGTACTCCCTGTTACTTAATGCCCTGCCCATAAATCCATTTCGTGTGACTAAATTGGTCTCGACATCACAATTTTTCCCATCACTTGGCTCACATAATTTTAAGTTTTCATCTTTTAAATTGGATAAGGCAGAAGGAACCGTTCTCACCATTCCTGAAGACAGAGAAAAGCCTCTTGAACCAGATGTGTGAGAGGACAAAGGCCTCCTTTTTGCAGGGTCGCCTTGATTAAGCCCCTCCCTTCAAAATTAAAGCCATTGTCACTCTCTGTGCCTCGGCTCCCTCCCTGACTCCAGGTCAAGCTTGTTCTAAATCATCCATTTTCACATGTGGCTATTAAGTCAAAGGCAGTGTCTTTTCTGTTGGAAGCTTCTGAGAGGTCCAGTATGAGGACATCTGCAACTTTCTTCAGGAAAACGCATGGGGGCGGGGGCAGGCAGAGAATCAAGTTTTCGGCATCCCGCCCCGTGCCAGGCATTAGTCAGGAGCCACTCTCAGTCACCTGGTGAGGCAGTGAGCAGAGCTCAGGCTGCACCCACAGCCCTCCTGCTAAACCGGGGGGTGGCCGGGGACAGTGGGAGGCCCAGTGGGAGAGAAGCAGCTTTGGACAAAAAGCCTCATCACTGGACGCCAGCCTGCATGGAATCATAATGGCCAAACAGGAAGAAACACTAGCTAATGTGATTCTGAGTTATATCACGAAGCACAAAACATGCCAATTCTAGTCTCTTGGCTGTGTTTACGCGTAAACTTCCACCTACTCATAGAGAATTTAGTCTAGGGTGAAAAAAATTGAAAAGCAAAAAAACGGTTAGGAAATGTAACATTACAACCCAAGCGAACGCACATTAACAGAACACACCAGTGTCCAGGCAGGCATCGGACACTAAGGACAGCTCTTGAAACAGCTAAATGCCATTCAGCTGGCCAGTCTCCCCCCAGGGGGTTCCAGGCTTCTGGGAACAGCCCAAACGTCTTACTCATTTCGTATCTCTGGTACCTAAGCATCCTGCCCAGGCCTGTGGAAGAGGCACTGAAGGGCAGTGCCAGGACAAATCTCTGTCCCTCCCCCGGTCCAACTATGCGTATAATGACTAATACAGTATCACCCAGGCACTGAAGCAGCCGTAACATAGTAACATATCTATTACTGACCACCAAATAAAAGATGCATAAAATAGAAATGTTTCTGTGTTGTACAAGAATCAGCTGCATCCAAATCAAGAGATGCTAGCCAAAATGCAGATTCCTGAAGCCTTCCCATAATCAGGCTGTCTAGGCAAGGTGCCCTGGAATTCACATGAAGTGCCCCGAATCACCCCTATACGCAAGGACTTCTCAACCAGGAGACATTTTGCCCCCCACCCCACCCTTCCTCAGGGACATTTGGAAATGTCTGGAGACCTGCTGGATTGTCCTGAATGAGGACATGGTAACTGCTACTATCCAGCAGGCAAAGACCAAGAATATCGCTCACCCTCCTACAACGGAGGCAGCCCTCCTAACAAAAAGGGATCCGGCCCGAAATATCAATTCGGGTGAGAAACTGCTGTGAGCCCTAAATAAAAAAATAAAAAAAAAAAAAGCATTGTCCTCTGGTCTTAAAGCAACAACAAGCTTAAAAAACAAAACAAAACAAAACTTTGAGGTGCATAAGAACACCTAACTTCTAACTAGATGAGAGTATAAATTATAACTTACTATTTTACCCCAACATTTAGAAAATCTGAAAACGACTGTGGAAAAATCTTGAAGGGGTTGCCATTCTAAATAATAAATTTCTAGACCAGGCCATGATAAAGGCCATCTTCCCATTTTTCAGTGTCTCAGATCCCTCAGATAATCCCATCTCTGTGACGTGGTGCGACTGCAGAAGGACAGATTAGGCCAAGTGATGTAAACAGCTTTTTCAATTCTAACACTGAGTATGGCAGTTGAGTGAGACCACCCGGTGCGGCATCAAGAGTGCTCACTTGGGAGGCAGGACACCTGAGTTCTAATCCCAGCTCCGCTACTTAATTAGCTGTGTGCCGTGGATAACCCACTTCCCCTCTCAAGGTCTCAGGTTCCTCATCTGCAAAATAAGGCAGTTAGGCTAGAAGATCATTTAATCGATCCAACGGTCCGTTGGCCTATGCAGTAACTCCGATAATACACACATTAACATAATCTCGGAAGATTCCTTCACAAAATTCAGACAAGTGGAATCGCCAGACACCACTATAAAAAAAAAACACACAACTCCAAAGGGAGGCTCAGCTTCATTGGTTGGTAATATGAGAAATGTATTATAAGCTGTCATACTTTTGGTGCAATAGGCACAGTCCTACGTGAATGATGTAGAACTATTTTGTTAAACAATTTGGCAATGTGTATACAGAGCTAAAAAGACCTGACTGGAACATAGCACCTATTCTAATCATTTAACTTCTCAGACCCTAGTCCAAGTAAATACTCTAAAACACAGCTTTAAAAAAAAGTTTATGAGCATATAATGTGGGACGCTACAAAGAAGCAAGAATTCACAAATACCCTAAAGGCCCCACAGTCAGGATGGCAGAGTAATTTATGAGACCTACACAATGATCGACTAGGCAGCCAATCAAAAGAAAATACAAAATTAGAGAGGATATTTAGGAAGAATTTTTAGACGAACTGGAATGCTAAATATACTGCGAAGTGATAAAACAGATAATGTTAGCTCAAGGGGAAATTAGCACAGGCAAGAATAGATATGAAAAGGAATTGTAAGTGGAAAGGTTCTGTGATTTTTTTTTTCACTGAGCTCTTCACCATTTCCAATTTTTCTACAACAGCCTTATATTAGTACTAATCGGGGCACATTAAATCATGATCATCCTTACCTGCATCATCCTCATCCCCGACACCCCGAACAGCAACAGAAACACTAGAACAAAAAAAACCCAAACCTGCCAGGAACGCGCGCGCACCCCTACACACTCGAAAGCCCTGCTGATCGACCTTAACGCCACACAACTGTGGGTGGGAATTCCCAACCTGCTAAGATGGGCTGGTCCAGCTTACACCCTGATGGTCGAGTGCAAGCACCCCGGAGGCTGCAGGCCGGCAGGCAATGCCCTGCAAGCCCTGTCACCCCGGCGAAACCTGGCCGTGTTCGGAGTCCGCTTTCCCGCCGAATCCCCAGGCTAATGTCGGGGTTCCCTGCGGAATTTCGACAACCAGGAGCGCACTCGCAAGCCAAATCCATGGCACCCCGTGGCTGCCATTCCAAACCGCGCAGTCCCGGCGCTCCTCCGGGAGGGGGATCTAGGGGACGGGCTCACGGATCGCGGCGGCGACCACCACGGATTCCATTCCAGGCGCCACGCGCGGCTGCCGCGGGAACCAGCCACCCACAGCTCCGCTGCTGCTCCCCACCCCGCTGGAGGCGACGGGACTCCGGGGCTACCAATGCCCCGTGCGTTGCCGGGCTCACCTCGAGATTCCCAACTCTAGACGCCCCACATCCCTGGCCTCCGCCGACAATGGGATGAAACTGAAACTGAAACTGAAACCGCCGAGGCTGCGACGCGTTTCAGTCTCAGCCAATCGCTGCTTCCGGAGCTACAGCGGCCCGCGGGGCCAAAAGAGCCCAGTCGCGCGGAGCGCGCAAACCCCAGATTTCAGGCTTGCCTGGAGGAACAGTCAGCGGTGCTATGGGCCAATTAGAAAGTGCTTTGCTCTCTCCTTTAACAAAAAGCAGCCCCCCTGCCCCTCAAAAAAACCCGTAAAAAGCAAAGCAGGAAGTGATCTTTTAGCCAGGATTTCTTTTAGGAAGACAAGTAAGAAACAGCTTGAAGTCATAGGAAACTGGAATTCACTGCACAAGTCATGACTGTCCGGAAATATCATTTAATAATTTAATGCAAATAAAGAAATCTTTAAGTCCACCTTTGGATTTTGATCGTGTGAAGATCAAGTCATTAGCAAGATGTCGTGTCCGTAGCAGCGTTAACTGGCACAAAAGGAATTACAGTCACTAAAGTAGCTGTATTATAATGAAATAAATTGCATTACATTACAAACTAGCTCTAAATGGAAATGCTGTGCAGACATTTAAGTGCTGCTATGGGAACTTGGTTTGGAGTTTTGCGTGAATTCTCAATATTCTTGCTATTAATGGAAAGAGAGAGGAAAGAGAATGGTCATACCGAGACTTGACTCCTTTTTCTTCTACATGCATGGCCTCATCAATTTAAAACATATACTTTCATTCCACATAATTTGTAACACTATAAACAGTGATAATCTCTTTAAACAGATTCTTAGATTTATAGAATCTAAGGGGCAGAAATTTTTTGTAAGACAAAAATGAGTTTCCCCTCTTGTAAACCTCTCTTAGCTGAAGAGATTAACCTTTGATTCGAGTGACAAAGAGATTTGAGGGAAAGGAGAAACTTCATTGTATCCCTCTATAAAAGCTCACTTTGGGTACAGACCAAACATTATGGATTTATTGAAAGGCTGTATTTGAAGTTCTTGCTGTATAAAATATAATGCAAACAAAAAATTTAAAGTATTGTTTAAATAAAATAATTAGCTGCAAAGAACATATATAATAGGATATAAAAGCCCTGTCTCTAAAAACCTTCACAAGAGACATCAAGTAGTACCATATTCCCCATTGTTTGTTTCAGTTTTTTTTTAAAGAATGTTTTGATTCATGGCCTCTTTCCCTTTGCCACAGAGCCCTGATGGGTGGAGTCACTGAGACTGGTGCGGGGAATAAGGAATTTCAGGGGCCTGGTTCATCTGCAGAGGCAGCTGCAACCCTTTCCAAGGGGCATGGACCTGGAAGGGCCCAACTAGACAAAGTACTTCGTGAGCCAACATATTTACCCACATGTGTTTATTCCAGAATCCTCAGCAGCTTATAATTGGCCTTTACCACAAAGCAACTTTCCATATTTCACAGGGTTTCTCAGTATCTTTAATTTTGCAAAGAATGGGCAAGATTTTTCTGAATACTAATTCACCAAGAACTCACCTTCAAACCCATGCACATAAACATGAATTTATTAAGGTCATAAAAATAATTATCATGTCGTAAAAATAATCTGACAAGGTTTAGTTTTGTTTAGACAGTTTAGTTTAACTTTTAAAATGGACGAACCTACACTGACACATTGTTGTCACCCAAACGCCAGGATTTACATTAGGGTTCACTCTTGGTGTTGTATATTCTGTGGGTTTTGACAAACATACAATGATATGTATCTATTATTATAATGTCACACAGTATTTTCACTGCCCTAAAAATCCTCTGTATTTTGCCTATTCATCCCTTTCTTCCTACTAATCCCTCGGGACCACTGGTCTTTTTATTCTACCCATGGTGCTGCCTTTTCCAGCAAATCATAAAGTTGGAATCTTACAGTATGAAGCCTTTTCCAATCAGCTTCTTTCACTTAGCCATATGCATTGCAGTTTCCTCCAGGACTTTGCATGGCTTAATAACTCAAGAAAGAGAATTTTTTCTTTTTTAAAATTTTTAAAGATTTTATTTTAAAGAGAGGGGAAAGGAGGAAAAGAGGAAGAGAAACACTGATGTGTGAGAGAAACATCAATTAGTTGTCTCTTGCACGCCCCTAATTTGCAATCCAGGCATGTGCCCTGACTGGGAATTGAACTGGCAACCTTTGGGTCTGCGGGCCAGCACTCAATCCACTAAACCACACCAGCCAGGGCTAACTCATTTCTTTTTAATGCTGGATAGTAGTTCATTGTCTGCACACACCACAGTTTATTTATTAATTCACTTACTAAAGGACATCCTGGTAATATCAAAGTTTTGGCAGCTATGAATAACCTGCTACAAACATCTGTGTGCAAGTTTTGGTGTGGACGTAAGTTTTCAACTCTTTGGGTACCTACTAGGGAGTGCAATCGCTGAATTGTATGACAGAAGAATGTTTCCTTTGGTAAGAAACTGCCAAACTGTCTTCCACAGGAGCTGTGCCATTTTGCATGCCCACCAGCCGTGAATGAGAGTGATTCCCGTGTTTGGGAATTCTCACAGGCATGAGTGGACAGACTACCACTGCGGTTTTAATTTGCATCTCCCTAATAACATATGCTGTGGAGAATTTTTCCTATGCTTGTTTGCTATCTGTATATCTCCTTTGGTGAGGTGTCTTTTTGGAGTTTTGCCCATTTTTTAAGACGGCTTGTTTTTTATTGTTGAGTTTAAGGGTTCATTGTATATTTTGGGTAACAGTCTTTTATCAGATATGCCTGTAGCAAATATTTTCTTCCAATCTGTAGCTTGTCTTTTCATTCTCTTGAACCAATTATTCTTAAGATAGGCAAATACTAGCATAAAAAAATACTAAGGGGAACTCTTGCCATTTCATTATTTGTTCCAAACTTCCATAGTCCTATTCCTTTGAAAGGCTATGTCCTTTCATGTTTCACGTTCATAAGAAAAAGCACATGTCTAGCTAAAACACCGAACAGCCTTGTGGACAGGTCAGCAATTGTACTGTGTTGATGCCGATGATGATGGTTACAAACATGGAATTGGGTTGGCCAACAGTCTCCAAAGCAGATTTTTATAGTTTGAAGTCTCCTAACGTAGTGCTATAGTTTGGAGAACGCTGGTTGGTCTTGGTCCAGCAGTGCATTACTGCTGTGAAATGCTGGAATGCACTTGGACTTTTCCTGTGCCTTCAGACTGGACGATACAAACAGCTAACCTGTCACATCCTGGTTTGGGACCACTATTATCTGCTTTTTATCGTGGGATGAGAAAGATACCCTATAGTTGTTGAATGTCTCTTTTTTCTATCTCTTTTTTTTACAGTGCAGCCTTTCAATCACCCCACTTGTATGCAGGGGCTCAATTCCAACTCTCTACCCTGAAAGAGGCTAATACCTTGTCTCTTGTACACGTGGGCATTAACACGGTCACTTCCACTCTTTCTCCTGATCCAGTTCAAACCGTGACGTCTTCTGGGTTACTGTGAGAGCATGAACACTGGTCTCATCAGTTGCAGCTCAAACTTTTTCTCTTCAACCAGGCCACCTCTTAGTTACACTTCAGGTCTTAGCTCAAACATAGATTCTTAGAGAAAACCTTTGGTAATCCCTCAGACTAGATATTCCTTCTCTTGTTCGTGAGCACAGAACACTCTCCCCCTCCTATGCACCACAATTAAATAACTCTGAGTGTGTATTTGTCTCTTCCCTCCTGCGTACGCTGCACGCACAGGGCTGACGTCTGTATTATTCAACATTTGTGCTGTACTGTCTCCTGAGAAGTACTATAAGCTTATTGACCAGTGGACAAATTTCTCAGGAAAGTCAGTGTGCCTTTTATTTTTACCTCAAGATGGGACATATTCTACATCGTGGGCGCTTGGTTTCAGATATACTGTTTGAGATGTTTAAATAAATACTGGGACTTCACTGTCCATTATTCTGGTGTAACTTGAATTTCACAAGCAACTGGCTCTGCCTCTGAGCTCCTCTGAATAGTCTTTTGAAAGCCGGGATGCTTTATGTTCCACTGTGAACTCCAGAAAACCCCTCTCAGCTGTAAAATTCAGCGAAACCGTTGTGACGTTGCCCTTGTATTTTAATCAAGATGAACTTGAAAGGTGAACATTATAAGTGGGAGAAATTATTTATAATTTGGCAATAAAAGTTTATGTCTAACACTCCAAATTTCATACATCTGCTCTGTGCCGGCCCTGAGATATAAAACAATTGAAGTTGCCTTTACAGTTGGCCTTATACGAAAGGTCATAAATTAGAATGATAGCACTTGTCCTCTTTCCTAGCTCACAAAATTTCCGTATTAACTTCTTCACCTCAAACATAAATGGTTACCCAGCTGCAAAGAAAAGAGTTTTGTTGGCCTTTATGAATTATAGTTTGAGCCGGAAATCTGTGGAACGTGCATTGGATGAACCCACGTCAGTGAAGCCAATTCTACCACTGCGAAAATCATTAACACTGTATGGCCAAGTTCAAATAAAGACAGTATAGTATATAAAAATTTAGGAATATTTTAGATACCAGCAAATGAGATGTGGTTCTTTTAACTCTTAACAATGCATTTTCACATCTTTCAAGGGTGTTCTCTGCTAGAATACCTGCTACCATATTTGTTTTAAATAAATTCAATTTTTTAAATGTTTCTAATGTGGTTTTTAACTGATAATGTGAACATTTTAATTTTTTAAACCACAAAAAAACCCACAATCCACTTCTATTATGACATACCATAACTAAATTCATCCCAAAATATTAGTGAAATGGACAAGTTTTTTTTTTTTAATGTTACGGCAAAAAAAAAAGACAAACAACCAAAGAACCCCAGATGTCCTTGATTTTCTAGGACATATCAAATCCATATGCTTTTTCGGTGTTAAGATTTCTTTTTGCAAGCACTGTAGAGTAATTAAAGCAAAGCATATTTTAAATGAGCAGGGCCAAGTTCAAGAACTTGAATTTCAGAATCTTAGGACTTCATCTAGGTAGAATGCAAAAATTTAAGACCAAATGC